TTTTGAGCTCCAGAGTCGCTAAACAGGACTCGAACCGGACGTGTGACCCTACCAATGGATTCCTTGTCCAGAGAGCAATCCATTGGTGGGGTCACACGTTCGGTTCGAGTCCCATTAAGCGACTCTGGAGCTCAAAACGCGTCTAGGGCTTTGGCCGCCTCCACTGGTCTTCTGGCCCACTGTGCGGCGCGGCCTGCACATCCATGCAAACGGGCTGCGCTCCGTTTTTCTGCCTCGCCCGCGGCCGTTGCCTCCCGTTGGACGCCGCCACCTCTCTGCCTCTCTCGCACCCACGCCTATGAGTGCGAGAGAGACACAGCGACGACGAAAACGGCCGCTCTCGGAATCAGCGAGCGAGGCTGCGAGGCGGGGACACGTATTCTCCCCGCCACCGACCAGCTTCACACCTGCTTATTTTCAGCACACTGTGAACTCGTTGACCCGGGCGCGGGCGGGCATGCGAGCGTGGCTGCGTGACACATGTGTCACGCCGTGGCGCGCCGTGGCGTGAGCGTGGCCGGTTGCATATCAGCGTGCATGCCGCCTCGCCAAGGGCATCGCACGCCGGCCGCTGCAGACTGATGCCGAGAGTCGTTTTCGCCGCTCTGCCTCTCTCGCGCTCGTGGCCGGCGTCCCGTGCCGGTGCGAGAGAGGCAGAGCGACGAGAGCGACTCTCGGAATCGGCCTCCTGGCCCAGCAGCACCGCAGCACCGCCGGCACTGTGCTGTGCGGGGCACACCGGCACCTCTCCCATTTCACCGTCGGATTACGCTATTTCCGCTCGCGTCACGGGCAATGAGGGTACAGGACCGGGCCGGGGGTACCGGGGGTACCTGCGTAAGGCAGACGGACGGGCGGACGGACGGACGGACGGACAGCAGGCAAACAGTTTAATTTATGAAGTGTTTTTATTGGGGGTTTTAAATTGCTGGAGGGCGGATGCCGTCCAGTCCACTGCAGTGGCATGCGTCTGCTTCGGGGGCTGAGCGCCTGCGAGGTAGTCCAGCGGGCAAGTGGCGCGGGTGCCGCGGCCGGCTGCAGACTGATTCCTAGAGCCGTTTTCGTCGCTCTGTTTCTCCTGCGCCCAAGGGGACACCCCATGAGTGCGAGAGAGACGGAGCGACGAAAACGGCTCTCGGAATCAGTCTGCTGCCAAACCTCCTTGCGTGGCCAGCAGCCGCGGCGTGCGTCGCGGTCGTGCGACACGGAGGACGCTTGTCGCCATTTGTTGAATTTCGCGCGGCGCTGCCGCCTCGTCTCGTCTCGTCTCCGGCACGCCCCGACGCCCCGGGCACGCACGGGCCTTGCTTCGCGTCGGGCCGGGTGCCGCCTGAGCCACGCGAGCCGGCCCCTCCCCCCTCCCCGCACGACACGGCGCAGCCGGCGAGGTGCTCGCAATGCGCCGCAATGTCTTTTTAATGGCGGGGTTCTTGATCGGCGCGGTCTGGGGTCATCTGCAGATGAGGTACTCACCAAGCGGGGTGCCGCCCCCGCCGGCGTCGAGGAGACCGTCGAGGAGGCCGCCGCGAAGGCCGCCAGCGCCAGCAGCACGGTCCATGGCGCGGGCGGCGCGGGCCCAGGCCGAGGGGGCCTGTGGGGCGGTGCAGGGCCGGGCGTGGCCATGGGCCCTCAGCCTCAGCAGTGGCCGGCCCTCCGCGCCCGCGTCATGTCTGCAAAAAGATGGGAAAAGTGCAATCATCTGCAGTGTGCCCGCGGGCGGGGCGGGGCGGGGCGGGGCGGGGCGGGGCGCGGTGATGTGATGACTCTCATTCGGAGCGCCGGCCGCTTTCCTTCGCTGTAATCGCCAAGCCAGCGGCCCGGGCAGCGCCCCGCCCTGCCTTGCCTTCCCGCCTGCCCGGCAGCGTCTTCAACATCTCGACATGGACCCAAAAGTGTCGCACGCCCCAGGAGCGGGGGGGGGGGGGGCTTCTGCCGCAGGTCTTACTTTCTAACCCGATCGGCCTGCGACAAGTGCGCTTCGCCGCCCCGCCACGCCCCACCCCGCCCGGCGACATCGCGGCCCGGGCATTTATTCGGCGACTTGGACGCCGCCGACGTGCAGGCGGCCAAGACAGCCATGGCGGCTTATGCGTCCGGGGTGCGGTTTCGCCATTAGCCCTTCTCGACGTTCAAGAGTAACTACCCGACCGCGACTTGAAATGCAAATGCTGCGGCGGGTGCCTCCAGACTGGAGACTCCAGACTGCAAACAGCAGACTCCAGATAGCAAACTGCAGACTGCAGGCTCCAGACTGCAAACTGCAGACTCCAGACTCCGACTCCAGACTTCAGACGCTGGAGACTCCGACTCTAGACTACAGACTCCTGTCTGGAGGCTCCAGACTGCAGACTCCAGGACTGCAGACTCCAGGACTGCAGACTCCAGGACTGCAGACTCCAGGACTGCAGACTCCAGGACTGCCGACTCCAGGACTGCAGGCTCCACACTGCATGGTCCAGACTCCAGGCTTTAGGCTCCCGGCTCTAGGTGCCAGGCCCGAGGCGCCAGGATCCAGACGCCGTGCCGTCTGTGCCGTGCTCGGCGGGAGGGAAAACGTAGCGTTATCAGGATGCAAGGCCCGGAGGATGGAAGGCGCCTGGAGGCCTGGGGCCTGAAGGGATCGCGTCCTTGCGGCGTGCTTTGGGAGGATGGCGTCGTGCCAACCAGAGCGAGAACGCGGCAACGCCGAGGGCAACGCCGAGGGCAACGCGCCGCCGCGGCTCGGCGAATCGGAATCGCAAAGTGAGAAGGAGAACGGCCGTCTGCCCCGAGGGCTGCCCTGCCCTGTTACACTCACTCCTTGAGCTGCTCGGCGGCAACTGCGTGCTGCCGCAGTGCTGCCGCGGTCCTGCCGTGCTCCGGCGATGCCGCGTGCACTTATCCGGGGACGGCACCGGGGGCACACTCGCGGGACGGGGAGCCCATTTGCGTCCCGGACTCGGCCCTCGCCTCGGCCCTCGCCTCGGCCCCGGCCGTCGTGGTCCTGCCGGTCGTCTTCACCGGTGCACCGTCCACTGCATAGTCCGCACTGCCGGCGCGACGCTCGCGAAACGGAGGACGGGGCGACGCGGGCGACGGAGTCCGGCTCCAGGACTCCAGTGTCTGACGGAGGCGGCCGCTGAACTGAACCGGAGCCCGGAGCCCCGCGCGGCCGGAGGACTCCAGCGCGGCCGCCGCCACGCCGGGACACTCTGGTCCGCGGTGGGGGCGTGGCGGGGCGTGGCGGGGAAGACCATCCTGCCCTCGACAGCCGCAGCCACAGCGGGCCGGCGCTGGCGCTCTGGAGTGGCTGGCCGGCGCGGGCCGAGCGGACCGCCTCGGAATCGCGGGCCAAATTTAAATTTCTCACACGAATACGAATACGCTCTCGCGCGCGCCTCGCGCACAGTCCGTGAGCTCGACTTTCGAAGCAGTGTTTCAGCGAGAGTTCTGCGCGGGGTCGCCGCCAGCACGCCCGGTCCGCCAGACATCGGCGCCGTGGCCGTGCACCTCCTCGCCAACGCCACCGAGACCGGCGCCGTGCACCTCCTCGCCAACGCCATCAAGACTGGCGCCGTGCACCTCCTCGCCAACACCACCGAGACCGGCGCCGTGCACGTGCACCTCCTCGCCGACGCCGCACCGAGACCGGGTGCCGTGCCTCGGCATCTCCGGCGAGCGGCTCCGCGAGTGGCGTGGGCGTGGTGATTTCGCCATCGTGACATTTAATCAACCGTTTAATTCATTAATGGATTAATTGGAGAGAGAGAGAGAGTCTTATTCAACCGAGCCAGAGCCAGGCATTGTTGTGGTTGTGTTACTGCACTGCGCGGCTGGGCGGCGGTATGGCGGAGGCAGGGGCAGGGGCGGCCGAGCAAGCCAAGCGCCCAGATGCATCGCACTCGACCCGGGCTCATTACAAAGTGGCACAAAATGGTGCGACCGCGCGAGGAGCAAGTGGGTACACTAGACTAAACGCTTTCGTTGCTGTCTCTCTCGCACCCCTACGGCACGACTCAAGAGAGCGGGAGAGAGACGGCGACGAAAACGACTCTCGGAATCAGTCCGCAGACAGGCTGTGCGACAACGCACAGCCACGCAAGTCGCTGCCCTAGATTACCGAGCGGACGGATTTCTCTGTAATCCACCGACACTCCAATAGCCTACCTCCTCGAGTCACCCCATTAGCAGCCGCCAAGGTCCGTACACTGTGTGCGTACAGGGGGGGGGGGAGGGGGGAAATCTGGGTATAGAGTTTTGGCCATCGCCGCTCGGCCGTGTTAGCCAGGAGATTTTCACTGCCTTGTGGCACTTTTATAACTTCAGGTGGGGGTTTGCCGCCAGGAGGGCTTTAAAAGTGTGTGCGTACACTGTGTGCGTGCTCTCAGCCCCCCTCCCCCCTCTTCCTCCGTGTCGCTTGTTCCGGAGCGTTCAAAGGAACGATCCTGGACCGTTACATCGTCCGCGAATCACCGGGAGGTCCCCCTCTCCCTTTTTCCGTTCACACTGGTTCACACATACGCACACGAACACTCTCACAAGCACACGCGCGCATCGCCAAAGCGAAACCAGTATTGGTCCCCGCTTAGCCGCCGGGTCTGTCTTCTTACACCACCCAAGAGTGTGTCCCATCTATCACTCTTCGAGCGCCGACAGCTCCGAGTCATTTTGGTCGCTCTGTCTCGCTCTCACTTGTGGGGCATCCCCCATGGGAGCGAGAGAGACAGAGCGACGGAATTGACTCTCTGGCAGTGTAGGGTGTGAGGCGCTCGGCTTTACGCTGTGCTCTACACCGTGCCCCGGGTGCCCCGCCCCGCCATCCAGAGCGTGAACGCCTAGGCCGCCCCGGCGCCTGGAAGTGGAACCCAAAAGCAAGGTTGGCTTGCATCTAAAAACACGTCCACACTCGTGCACACCGAAGTCCTAGACAGAGAAATCTTACTCTTACTCAGTGCCATCTGCCATCCTACTACCCTGTGAGATGGAAAGGAGCAATAAATTTTACATACAGGCTTTTTTTTCCATTGACACCTCATGTATTGGTTTTACGACACGGACAAATACACACATACACATACAGTTGCACAGCAGACAAAAGCAAGTGTACACTCTTAAATACTACAATAAAAGAAATAAAAACATAACATAAAAACATGAGAGTTGGCTAAAGATGTCTGACTCAAGTCAATAAAATATACTAGTATCACTGCCAATGAAACTGGAATGATAGCCATCTTTAAAAAAATATAAGTAGTTGTTAACAGAAAATTATGCAGGTTTTACAGGAACTAATACAAAAACACAACACAAATCACAACACAAATACTTAAAAATATAGATTAAATGATAAATACAATATAATGGTTATCCTTGCAGACTTACATGGACGGAAATATAAAAAGAGCAAAAGAAAGGCAAGAACGTAATAAATAGCAGAGGAACATAATCTCATATCACGTACATGACTAGCAAAGGATATGACTTGAGCCAGCCATCATTGGGGGCTGATTTCAAAACACAAATCGAAATACTTCATACATAAACTAGTAGGTAAGAAATAAAAAATAATTATCACAAACAAATGAGTTACAGTACACACACACTATCTTGAACTTACAGGGACAAAAATATTGAAAGAATAAACTCAAAAGATGCACAGTTTGCAGTTGTTTTGTGAAGATGCTAAAAAATAAAAGTATTTGGTCTCAATCATAATTTGTTTTATATAGCCAGAGACAATGAGCGAATGGAAAAAATTAGAGTGTTTCTGACGCAGCAACTCGTTTAGACAAAAAAATATCTGTACTTGGTTCAAGTTATCTTTATAAGCGCTGAGCAATAGATGCAGGAAATAATTGACACAGACAATACTAACACAGCTAAAGCAGAAATAAGTCTGATCCACTACACAACCTGCTAAGTAACCTTTCGGTCATACATATTTTTAGAGAGCCTCACAGAACCACGTACACTTTATCACTTTTATGAGTAAGAGAATACTTGGCAAGGCTAGCAGTACACACTGCAAAGCTAAATTTCTTAATTTGTGACCTGTAAAACAAAAATAAATTAAATTTTATGCCTTTAAGCTGTCTACCTCTCTTGCAATGTTCAACCTTGCTTGGCCCTCAAACTTTTCTCGGAATTCTTTGGTGGCAAATATGTTTGGTATCTGAAGAAATGTCTCCAGAACCTAGAAAATACAGACAAAGAGGTGGGGTCAGAAATATGAGCCTAGCTTAGGACGAAGGACAGAGGACAACGACAAAGCTACTCCACAATGATTCATGGACTCACACGGAGGCGAAAAGTGCGATACTGATTTGCAGGCATGGGACCATATTCTTGTTGAATTTTAGATGAGTAGAGAGCATAGTCTTCTGGTTCTCCTCCCAGAGGAGTCATGTCTATGTCAAGAAAATAATGATGGTCATCTGATCCAAACATGCCGCCAGTTTTGTGTTCATCTGTGCTATGGGTAGCATTAGCTTGAAGAAGAGAGACTACCTCCTGATGCAGAGTTGATTCCTGTAAAAAAGTACGGGACATTGAAAAAAGTAGAACTTACACTCTTTATATGAAAATTAAGGGTGATACTTACATTGGGAATTTCTGCATCTTCAGCAAACTTGTCAAACATGGCTATGTTTCTAGCCTCACAATCAACAGATTTGGGATCATATTCATAACTTGAAAAGAGGAAAAAACAGTGTGGTCAATTAATTTTCAAAAGCAATTAAGCCCTCTGGAGCAAAATTCAGGGAAGTTGGGATGATACACCGAGTAAGCTGTTCTATCTGATAAATTCTGATGATATTAAATTGAATTATTATATCGAAATTAAAGAATTCAATGTATATTATTTAACTTCAAGAACAAAGGCAAGGTTAGAACGTCGTCTGCTAGAGCCCATCCGAAGCAACCCTTACTTCAGTACTGGGCTAAGATGGCGTGGATAGTGTGTCTCAGTGTGGTTGAAAACACTTACTAGTTGAAGATAATGGCTAAAGCCATAGCCTTTGGATTTTTTAGGACATTCCTGACAAATTCAAAGTGAGTCATCTTATCCTCCAAGTGTTGCAAATTGTGGAATTTTCGTGATTCCTCGCTGTATTTTCCAACTATATTGGTCCACCAAGATTCCGTGACGGCACTAGGGTAATCTTCGGTACACTCTTTCCAGATAGCTTCCAATTTAGTTGCCATTGTCAAAAAAAGCCGACCGACACTCAAAATTCAGAAATCACTTTGACAGTTCTTCAGCAGCAGAAGTACCTTTGGAAGTACCTTCCCTTTACGAATAGTTGGCTTTTACTACCAACTGTCAAAACTAAATCATTACTAGTAACGTTCACTGACACTGCCCATTCGACTATGATAATGGCGCAGATTATTGAAAGAAAGTAAAATTCAAATTAAAATTTCATTTTAAAGGCATACATTTTTCAAAGAAAGATATAATTTCAGTTGTTTGCATAAAACGAGGCTGGCTTCTTCTAGCGCGAGGGGTCGTGGTGTTTTGTTTTGTTGTTGTTGTTGTCGAGCAGGGACAGGGAGAGGCAGGTGAGGGTGAGAGAGAGAGTAGAGCGGCGGAAAGGGGAAAGGGGGGAGGGAAAGTGAATCGTGGTGTAAATACGTGCCGCGTCGGTGTCGCGTTGTTTTGGTCGTGCGAAACGAACACACGGACACGGACATACTCTGCCGCGCCCTGCCCTAGTGCGTCGCTAGTCTCTTCGTCGGCGTCCCTCTCCCCCGAGATGCTGAGTTTGGTGAGCCGACGCGCCGTCCTGGCGACGCAGACTCAGGTCCTGGCTGCGGCCGCTGGAGAGGCATCAATGTCGACGTCGTCGTCGCTGAGGTGGGGCCGCCTGGTCGCCGACTCCTACTCGTCCTGCGCCTCGTACTCGTTGGCGTCCAGACTGAGGGGCGGCTCGCCGGCGCACCTTCACACATCCTGCAGCAGTCTGCACCAGAGTGTGTCCAGGTACGCACCCAGGAACGCCTGGACAGCTAGCCCATGCAGTGTGTCCGGTGTGTTCACAGCAGGCCCACTGGCTTTCAATTATCTTGACAGAATCTAACTGAAAAATGCAAAATGCATAATGCAAAATGCATACCCTCACCCCTTTTAGCACCTTTACGTATTTATAGAATTTGAAGATGACTGCTGTTTGCATTAGCATCTGTTTTGTGAGCCTTATATACTGTGTCTGTGGTTGACGCCGAGACAGTTTCTCTCTTGGAACTGTAGGGTTCGTTTCTGCTAGTTTGGCGCCAAGTCGCTAATCACTTATTTTATTATTATAACGTTCCAGGCGTCTCTCTCCAATGACTGCGTCCATACCTCCGGCAGCCATCCAACCAGTCGCCAGTAAAGATGAAAGCCGTGAATTTTTAGCAATTTTTCCAGATCTTGTTCGAGATTTGACTGATGCAGGGAGACATCTCGACATTCCTGAAGTAACAAAATGGTACTCAAAGGTTGGTTCCAATTAATGTCAAATTTATGTTAATATGATCCCAGTTAATGTGCATTTAATTTTCCCATGGAGTGGTACAACTTTCAGTTTCAGTAATGCATTTACCACATCTACTTTTGATTCTCAGGTACTACAGTACAATGTTGTTGGCGGTAAACGAAATCGTGCCATGGCAGTGGTATATTCTTACCGCATGCTGGCAAATAAAAGTGATTTGACTCCTGAAAATTTGCGATTAGCAATGATTCTTGGATGGTGTGTTGAAATGGTGGGTACATTTCATCACTGGTGAATTTATTGATAAGAGTTCAAAATTATAATGTCTCCTTAATTTTCAGTTGCAAGCCTTCTTCCTAGTCAGTGATGACATAATGGATAATTCGGAGACTCGGCGTGGTCGTCCCTGCTGGTACAAGCATAATAATCTTGGTCTAGCCGCAATTAATGATGGAATCCTCCTTGAGAGTGGAGTTTTTCAGTTGCTCAGAAGGCACTTCAGAGAAATGCCTTATTATCTTGATCTCATTGAGCTTTTCCATGATGTACGTACTCAGTGATTCCTGTGGATTCCTATGTTAATTTTTCCTTTTCTTGCTATTCATTTTTCTCTTTTGTTTCATTTTTCAAGGTTATTTTTAAAACCAGCATGGGCCAATGTCTTGACCTACAAACCTCTGGCAAGGCAGATCTTGAATCTTTTACTATGGACCGTTATACTGCAATTGTCAAGTACAAGACAGCATACTATTCATTCTATCTGCCTGTGGCTATTGGAATGTATATGGTAATAAAAGTCATCTTAATAGTTGCAAAATCTATCTTAAAATGTTTTTTTAAAGCAATTTTGTTCTCTTGTAGGCTGGTATAAAGGATGTCGAAGTTCATAGGCAGGCAAGAAATATCTTGTTTGAAATGGGCCATTTCTTTCAAGTTCAGGATGACTTCCTGGATTGTTATGGTGACCCATCAGTTACTGGGAAAATTGGTACTGATATTCAAGATGGTAATGTTTAGTTCCACAATTCTTTAGTTTTAGTTGAACTTCAATGCTTTGGTTTGAATATATTTTTATGAGAGCTCTTTGGACATGTTTTGTTCTCAGGCAAATGCTCCTGGCTTGCTGTTTTAGCATTACAGAGAGCTGATCCTGCTCAAAGAAAAATTATGGAGGTAAGTTTTGTTTTTCCAAATTGAGTTATTCTTTATTAAATCTTAATTTTTGTTAATGTTTGGTTCTCTTTTTTATAGGAGTGCTATGGTTCTTCCAAAAGTGAAAATGTGGCTCGAATCAAGGACCTCTATGAAGAATTAAATGTTCATGCAACATACTGCAAATATGAGGAGGACAGCTACAATCTCATAAAGACTCAAATTCAACAGGTCTCCAGGGGGTTGCCTGTTGAACTATTTTTCAAATTCCTTGACAAAATCTATAAACGTCAAAATTAGAAGATGTATAATTCCACATCTTTTAATTTTAATGTTTATATAGAACGCTCTTTCTATCTTATCTGATTGGTCTGTAAATTATTGTCCTTGTTTTGCTCAGTATGATGTGATAACTGACTGTTTGACAAACCATTTGTAACTAAAATCATTTAAAAGACATTCCCCTGAAAGGACTGTTGTTTGAAGGATACTTTGCATAGTCTTTGTAAAGGCTCTGATAAATAATAATCCTGGCATGTCAACGTTTTCAAATCTAGTTTTGTTGTTACCTGATTAGTACTGGTTTAAATCGAGTCATTTTTAGAGACAATATTATTTGTAAATATTTTAAAAATATTTTAAAAATATTTTTTTAAATGTTGTATTTTGTACTAACTTTATCATGTTTGTTTCCCCTTCTTACTGCTAGAGAATGCCACTAGTGTATTCAAATATTTTGGTAGTGGGAAGAAATATTTTGCCTCTCTTACCGGTGTGTTTGTTCACCTTTTTTTTTCTCACAATGCTAGGTTTTTCATTGAATCTAGTCAGTTGTTTGCAGTTCTGCTTTTAATTGTCAAGAAAATGTGTTTAGCTCCAAAGACTGGTGGTTTTGGAGTGTTCTTGTATACAATGTCTAATTGCTTGTTTAAGCTCAACAGATGAACTTGTCTTCCTTGTCCTTATTGACTATATTATTCAAATACTTAATCTTTGTGCATGTCTGTTTTTGTACCTTTTGATATTATGTTTTTATCTTATGTACATCAGTCTGTAAGTTACTTACTTTGTAAGCAGTAGTTAATGTTTACATGTGCGTGAGTTGCTAGACATGAACTAGTTTTAGTTTTGCTGTTACCTACACAGCTGGGACCATGAAGGGGCCGTTAATTTTCTTCAATTGAATTGCACCCACCCTTTTCTTGTTAGCTGTAGTAGTTGAGCTCTTTGTGCTGAGGTCATCACAATGAAGTATTATTGATTCCAATTTTATTATCACAGTTACATTTTAAGATAGATTCACCCTTGTAGATGTATGTCTGACAGTGATCCATGAAAAGAAAAGTGGTTTTGCAGTGGGCTTGTCCATCAGCTGTAATGCATCAATGAGTGGGAATGTTCTTTTATTAACGAATCTTGTTGGCTGTTATTGTTGTCATTTTAAAATAAAAGTACTATCAAGTCATGGATGGTCTCTGTTCACATAAGCAATATGAAACACCAGTCAAATTTGAAACAAGCTCTTCCTATTTATTATTATTTCACATACAGGCAGAGATAACATTAATTGGTTTCCAGAAGAAAATGGATTCTTGATACAAGATATCCTCTAGAAAGTTAAACATAACATTCTGTAATTATCTTTCAATGCAAGATGTGTCACTTGATATGGTTCCACAATGCGGTGCTAAAGAAACACACAGCTTGAATTAATGCAGACAAGATCAAACTACAACCAATAGAACAGAAAATAGAAAGAAAAACCTACATAAAATCGTCTCACAAGATGGAATGTTAAGCACATCCAATACACAAAAAATGGCAATAGCTCACCTCTGGTAACATATGAAAAAGTCACAATTGTTTTAACTTCTAATTACTGCAGTAAACCTATTCTTGGTGATAATACTTTTTTATCTCATGAATAATAGGTAGCAATCAGCAATGGCCAAAAAAAATTTTGAAACAAGAAAAACAGAAGAAAAAGGACCTTTGTGACCATAATTTATGGTCTCTCATCATACTAAGCTCTAATTCATGTGCTCAAAGTACTTCCAGCCTGGTTCCCTCAAGTTGTTGTTTCTAAAATCCAACGACAAATGGGAGGAACAATCAAAAATTATGTACACAATAAAGGAACCTCAAAAATAAAAAGGCCTAATAAAAATGGATCACAGGGGCATTAAATACACAAGTCAGCACAGACTAATGACAAACTTCATTTGATCGTATCCCTTTCTTTAAATGCTTCATACAGTTTAAAAATGGAAAAAATTTAGAAGTTCAATTTTTCATCAAACATAAAATGCTAATCTAGTAAAAATTTTGACTTCGGACACTGAACAACGCCTTATGACTGAAAATTGTAATACAATGAAAAATACTTCACTCAGCACATTATCTATGCATCCAATGAGTTGCGGCTGTTTTGGTAGAACTGTTGACCAGATATCAGAAGGGTGAAAATGTACAAACATGCAGCGATCCAGCAGTTGTACGCAGTCTGAAAACATTAACAAAGAGAGTTGTCAATTAAACTGCCATGAATGCATAAAACGATGCTGGACTTGAAAGGTGGTGTATACCTGAGTGTATGCCTTGTCAGCATCTGCATAAAACTCATCCGCATCTTTGTAATTGGTTTCCATGACTTCCAAATCTTCTGCTAATCCTACACTTTGCACATAGTAAAATGCTCCCATCAGCACCTGAAACAGGACAGACAATTCAAAATAAATTGACTGCTGCCAGCCACAGTCCGCTCACATGGTCTCAAGAATGTTGCAACTTTAGAAAGTCCATAAGTCTTAATCATAACATAATAAGCAAGATAGTTTCCAAGGAAAATTTTGTGAGTTCACTAAGCAACCAGTTATCCACTGAAGAGAACAGCCAAAATATAGACCAAATCCAGTGACAGCAGGTTAACCTCAATGTGCTTTGTGAGATAACACAGATAACAGATGCAATTTGAGAATATAGTGCGTCATGGACCAAGTAGACTAAAATTATACGTTAATCTAAAAAAACTAGACTTCGGAGATGACAAATAAGAGAAAAGGAACCGCAAATAGAAAATGCTGTACAGCTATGTGACAGCCCCACTTATCCACTATGTCAACACTCACCAGCTGCACAATACCCCAGGCGCTGATGATGAGCCCACAGAGGGACAGTTTAGGTCCACAGATTTTCAACATTTTGCCGAAATTGATCTAAAACAGCCACTAAACTGGGGCAAAAGGGGTTCCTGCACAGAACCTTGTGATCGTTCCTAGCCTACCTTCACTTGTTCGTCATGTGATGGGTGTGGGTGCGTTCGTGTGATTCCCCCATCCCCCGCTACTTCCCCGGTAGACGAGGAGTATCGCCACGGAAGCAGGGAGTGTTTCTCCAAGGCCTCTGCACGAGACGAGGAACTAGGGAGATGCCTTGTTTCTACTGAAAAGGGCAAGTGCCCATTGAGCGTTGTGCACGGTACTACACTACCACCTCAGCCAAGCCACACTCCGCGCCCAAGTGTCATTGTTCTGACCACGGGCAGTCTCTTGCGAATGGAGTATTGCCCGACTCGGTTCTTGTGACAGCGCAACGTATAAATCCCAATCGGCATACACAAGTCCACGTGACCTGCCTAAGTTTGCATGAGAAGATTACACCTGACTGACACTTTAGGCAAATTAGAAGCTCCTTGCATCTGTCCTCGCACTAAATCAACACCCTGGCTCTGTCCAGCAACAGGCCAGAGGCATAACATCTCATCAGGTGAGAGGGGAACAGAAGAACACACATTCATGTGGGAGAATTCCAGAGTTACTATACTTACACTCGCCCCATTGATTCATTCAATTGTCAGTGAACCCAGGTAACCTTAAGGCAGAATGTTTATCTCCCAATAAATTCATATTTGAATGTAGATTAAGTGTATACTGATCAAGAGGTTTTAAGAACATGGCAATCAGGGATAAAGAAAAGTAGTTTCAAATATAATTTTTTAATTTTTTTTAATTAAAACAAATAGGCCTCTCCTGAAAAGAAAGAAACATTCATTTTAATTCTTCACTATGGTTTAAGTACAGCAGATTCAAATATGTGATTCAGCTTAAATCTAAGTAAGGGCATATCCTGAATAAGAGTAATGTGATTTGTTATTGAGGTTATCTCCCCAGTGGCTAGGGTGCCCACACAATCTAATTGAATTTTAAATAGAACATTGGCTTAAGGAAAGAAAGATTGTGCGAGTGGATGGGATGCCAACCCCTACCAAGTAAGACACAAGTTCTGAGAAGATGACATTAATTTGCAGATTCGACCTACGAAAGACAAGTTACATAACAAGCCCAGTGAGGATGGAATTTTAATAAGTATACTAAAGCCTTGAAGGGATTCAAAAAGTTTGTTCCTCCTCTGGAACTTGAAACGGAACCACCCTCTGCAAATGCATTCATCACAGAACTTGATCTTAAAGCAAACTTACGGAGACTATTTATTCCTCAGGGACTTCGATTTCTCCAGCATTGATTTCATCAATAACATCATGAGGTGCCTTTCCGTCAATGGTGCAGCCGACAGACTGAGGAAAGAGAAATAGCATTATAACATTGGAACAGCCATGAGCTTATACAAAACACATTAATAATAAAAATAATAATAATTAAAAAAAAAAAAAAAACCAACCTGGCAGGTTCCTAAAACTTCCTTAACTGTTCCTGAGAGCTGTCTTGACATGGAGCGGGGCCTCATGGTCTTGGAAATAGCGAGAACATCCTCAAAGGTGATATTACCACTGTGCTTAACTGAAAGCAAGAAAATAAGTTAGAAGATGGCCAGTGCACAAGATGTAAAACAACACAACTGTTGAACTTACTGTTCTTGACCTTCTTCCTGTCACGGGGAGGCTCCTTAAGAGCCTTGATGATAAGGGAGGCAGCAGAGGGTACAACAGAGATAGCAGCCTGCCTGTTCTGGATGGTAAGGCATACTGTGATCTTCAGACCCTTCCAGTCAGAAGTAGCCTTGGCGATGTCATCACCAACCTTCTTGGGGGACTGCAAACAAATAGGAAAAGAAGTTAGAGCAACATTTACAATAAGAGTGAGATTTGTACCAGTAAAGACTCCCGACTTGCACTATCAAAAAGCACATTTCGGAATAACTTACTGGATTTACTATTGCCTATAGAAATTAATGACTATATGATAAGCGACATAGCCATACTCAACTAAAGGCAGTCAAATTAGGGTTCGAGATTCTTACCAGACCAAGTGGACCAATCTTGGGGGCAAGGGATGATGTGGCACCAACTTCACCACCGACACATCTCAGGAAGACTGGAAGCAAAGAAATAACACTATAACAAGTGATAGAAGACACAACATGCAAAACACACTTCTGAAAAATAATGCTCCCTCAGTTGGTAGTGCATGTATATATAAATCATGAACTCATTAAACCGTGTTTTGATATCATCATAGGAGCTTCAAAGAGATTAAAAACAATAAGATGTACATTAAAAATCCGACCACTGTCCAAGGCAGTGACTCGCGAATTAATCCAGCCCAAAGCATTTCGAAATAGCTTAATTAAATTGACGGAATATAAAACTACACGGCCCATACTAGTATAGCCGTACTGAAGCAAAGGCAGTCCAATCGGGGTTGAACATTAGCTTCAAACGAAGTGGCCCCATCAATGCTCCTTCGGTCCCATCTTGGGGCCAAGTGGAACATGTCAGCACTTCAAAAGACAAGATGCTCCCGCAGTTCGTAATGTAGAATACAAATCATGAACTCGAAAGGCAGTGTTTGAATGTCACATTGGAGCTTCACATAGAAGGGAGGAAAACGAGACTGACCATAAACAACGCCACATGTCGAGAAGCCCGAGGGAGGTTAGGCCTGGGTATAGTGACGGAAGATTCATCTTACTGCGGAGGTACCTCCAGACTGAGGCCTCCGTTCAAAGCGACGGTAAATTATCGCCGGGACTGACCATCACCATGGGCAAGACGTGCATTGACGCGTGAGAGATTTTTCCGAACGTGACAAGGTACAGCCGGTAATAGGTTAGGGCTGACGTACGGGACCAAGGATAAATTAGGAAAAAAAACACACATACGAACCACACGAGCAGTTCAAATAATGTGCAACAAGACTATTGAAGAAAGCGAAAATGAGGAACTAAAACGGATCTATGCAAATATCTGAAATGAGGTGGTGGAGATCAGGCGCCGTCTATCGACACCGCAGCAGACACCGATAAAAATTAAATTTTGAAACTTACCGGTCTTGATTTCATTGGGATCGAACTTAGGAGGCATTGTGAATCAATAGAAATTACTTTCTACGAGAAAGGATCTGATCAGCCGGCGATGCCAAGCGATAAATGTGGCGAAATTGACGCCACGACTCAAACGCACGCACTCCCCACTTGGCTTGGGCCGCAAAAGGACCGGGACCGGATGTACGAAGAGGGATTGCACGCTTGGACCACTCACAATAGGACCACTCTCTGACCGGAAGTCGGTCCACTGCTGAGGGACTTCCCTTAGTTCTCAAAGATCATGAATCAACTGAGCCAGACTGAGTGCTTTTATGGGTCTTGAAAAATATTATCTGATCCTTGGAAGCCTCTGAGAAACTGAATTTAAGAGAATTCAGGTTCAGAGTCAGGCCGCCAGCGCTTCTACCGGGGTTTACGGAAAGCTCAGCTTCTCCCGGGATCTTTCTCGCGGGAAGCTTGAATTTTGGGGTGCGGGTTGCTTGGTTGAAGGGGGTCTGGGGACGACCGGGCTGGACTGCGCTTTGGGCTTCTAGCATAGCAGCTCCCTTGCTGCCCAAACAGGCTCCTCTCTTTCGCAATCACGGAAAATCATATCCTTCCGTGTTTTTCAATACCCTAAACAATCAGGATGACTACAGCATGGGAGTCGTCCCTCTCCTCTGGTTACACCTTTCTGTACTGTGATATCCTTATGTAAACTCCATGTAATGAAATAAAATATGTACACTTTCCTTTGGAACTAGTTATTGTTACTTTCCATATCTCCTATGTGCAACCTTGGTTGAGGAACTGCAAAACAAGGATCAAAAAAAGTTTGTTTGGAATTTATTCTTTAGTTTTGTTTTTTTTTTACAATAAAAATAGTTTATTCAAAGTTGTAAAAACACCATTCCGGATCCAGCACAGGCTGGGGGAGCGATGGCTGCTAGCAGCTCACTTGATGTGAAAGTTGATATTTTGTTTTCATTGGTCCAAAAACACAATGCCTGGAGTTGTCATTGGCAGAGATAAATGCTAGACTAGAGACCAAGAGACCCTCTTGGAAGGGTCCTCAAGTGTCACCAGTTACTACCCCTCTATTCTCCATGCTATCTCAAATAACAAGCAGAGTTTCTATTTTAAAAAAAAGCCTACATTTTACTTTTATTTTAATAGCAAGGAGTAAGTGGCAAAAAGAAGAAAAGACTTCTATTAAGTGCATGTATATTTTAATTAGCTTGATGTAGAATTTTGAAGAAATACATGCCAAATAATTAAATTTAAGACAGATGAAAAAGACTTCAAAAGACAAAAAATATCACAGAAAATGCTCAATTCTCAAACTATGAAGTACAACTATGGCAACCCTAATCATCTTTGGGTTTTAAGAATTTCGCTTTCTTAGCAGGTCTCTTCTCCTCTTCATCACTGTTATCTTCATTTTCACTGTCATCTTCACTATCACTCCTATTCTTGTTTTTGAATTTCTTAGCCACAGTCTTCCCCAAACGCCTTGCCATTTCTGCATCGCTGATTTCAGGTTGATTACTTTGTAACCGCTCCAGAGCCTTCTGTTTTTCTTGAATGTGATGCATCTCTTCTTGCATTAGTCGTTCTACTTCAGGATTCATTCCCCTAAAAGACATCCTGCCGTTAAGCAACGACTCAATAGGGACCATACTCTGTTCAATGATGTATTGAGCTCTGAAAACAAATCAAACATGAGTTAGTGCTTTCCTGAAACACAATAAATAATCAGCTAGAATATCTCTTGCGCTTCAAATGAATGATGTGAAAGAACTGTTATTTACCCTTCAGAGTTTTTGCCTTTGTTAATATTGTCAGCAAACAAATCTTTACTTTCCAATTCCTCTTTTTCCTTGTCAACTTTCTCTTTACTTTTCTTCATGAACTGGAAATAACAAGGATGAAGTTAATATCAAAGACATACTGCAGGTGTGAAGGTAAGGTTAGAAATGGACTGGTCACATTCTTACTTTCATTTCCAGGATTCCCTTGGAGAGATTTCGCTTGTGACCCCTCTTGTGAGACATGTTGAACCTCTGTTTAATAAGGGAACTGATAGGCGTGGAAACAAATCTTCCCTGGGGAAATCTCAGTCACAAATCAAAACAAGTCCTCTCGGCATGCAATGTTGTTGTGGTTGTGTGCGGCTGCGGCACAAGTTCCGGTCCCCTCCCCTCCTCTCCTCTCCCCTGCCTTTCGCCTTTTCCCCTCTATTCATCGCATTTTATGCTTTGATCCTATATACAAGAATTGCTAGTCATTCAGAAACGGTATACTCCTAATTGTACGAATTGAATTTTTCACAAGAGCAAGACCTGATTGGTCCTTTGGGGCATGCAATAACTTGAAACCGAAGTCGATTTGAATTTGGCGCTGTCGGTCGACGAGGATTCCACTTCCTTTTGAGGGTGCGGCGAGCGGCGGAAACATTCCGAAAAGGCGTTGACTCTGTTCATGTGGCATGTATCACTCCGCCATATGCATACCTCACTGAAAAAAAGGCCAATATTGTCAGGGACAGCGCAGAGTACGAGCCGTTTCGAGAGCTCCGAAAATAAGATGCGGCGCGCGAAATACTTTTTCTGTGAGTCGATGCACCACTGAACCGTGCCGTGTGAAATGTGACCCCTTTCGTGGCGCGCGACGGGACTACGCTCGGGGACTACTTTCGGGGTGGTAGTGGTGGTGGGAAGCCATGTTAGATGACAGCTTGAGAATCTTGTCGTGATGGTTCTGTAGACGGCAGTTTGATTGAACCATTTGTGCCGTGCAAGTTCCTCCCCAGCGTCTGGATTACTGTGCTCATCGCCCTGGATACGTAACGTCGCGGCCTCAAAATGACGACGCAGATTCTACCGATACGGTTCCAGGAACATTTACAGGTGAGGGCCGTGGGGGACCCTAGTCTTACGAAACGCCCATTTCATTGACTCTTTCTCCTCCCTGGTCTGGCCGGTCCTTCTCTGCACGCCCTTCGCCACGGGGCTGCGGGCCCTGCGCCCTTCACCCTCGCGGGGCGTGCTGGGCGCGGACCCCATGCGGCCCGACTCGCGACAACGGGTGACCTACCACCGTGAACCTGTCATCCCGATTCTGACCTGGTTCGGCGAGTTAGGCTAGCCGGCTGTGTCTCTGGCTGCCCCTCGGGTCCTGATTGATTTGACCTGCCTCTGCCCCCATTTTGGGCGTGCAGGGCTGCGGTGTCTGCACGCGGACGGGTGCGCTGTCCTTTCCTGTGCGATTTGACGTTTACACCCCTTGACCCGCGACCCGCTCGCAGTCACGCAGCACAGCCCAACTGTCATTCGCGGCGGGTGACCGCCTAGGCTTAGGGGGCCACGGGGGCTTGGCTTGTTTTTGTTCCGCGGTTTGGCTCGGCCTCGAAGGGCGTGGAATAAACGGATCCCCCTTGTGCGAGGACGCGCCCGAACCTGTCTCTTTGTTTTTATCTTGAAGTGGCATGATGACTCATCTTGTCTCTCAAACTGTGGGTGCCCCATTTGTCACACTGAATGAAGCTTCTGCCTTGAGGCAGTGTGAATGAATGGGTCCTCAATGCACTTTGGGGCATTTTCCCTATCCCTCCACTTCTATTGGGCTTTTTTCTAAAATTTTGTTATGGTGCAACAGTCCTAACCTCTTTGTCCTTTATGCAACGCCATAAAATCTTCCGAGTACTTCATTTAATATTCAGAGCAGGGGATCGTAGCCATCTCTTTGAGTGCCTCTCTATACTGTCAAAGTTAATTGATCTTTAAATGCTGGGATCCACTGTGATGGATTAAATTGTTATTCATTGAACTACTGTACTAAACCATGAATTCTGTCTGAATGGGTTTCAATGGAGTTACGGTCCTATCGCTCAAGTCTATCTGCAGTGAATGTCAGATATTTTAGATTTGTCTGGTTGGATAGCCAGCTTTGGAGTGTCCTTCGACGTGTCGTCTGTGGCTGCCTGTCACTGCAAGAGCTTTGTCTGTGAAGGGGACCCAGAGTGACAAGGGTCGTAGATGGACTGAGGCAGGGCCAGAGTGTCATGTGCCTTGTCCGCATTTGCTGTCAGCAGTGGCGTGCACAGCTTAAAGCCTTGCAGAAGGCCGCTTATGGGGCAAATTATTGCCCGACTTTCAAGGGTGTGACTTGAAGTTGCACCAAAATGTGTCATCTTGGGGGTGTTTTTTTTTGGGGGGGGGGGGGTTAGTTGGCTGCCAGCCTGCCCCGTAGTGGTTGTGAGTTGGTGCTCGGCCTGGTTGTTGGGTGTCGGGGCGGGGCGGGGCGCGGCGTGTCCGCCTACCAGTGATACCGTGTACACCAGGCCATGCTGGTTGCACTGCCTGTCGGCTGGCTGTGGCTGTACCCCTTCCCACCCGGACGGACGGTCCCGGACGAGGCGAGGGGCTTTTAGGGACTGTAGACTGATTCTGAGAGTCGCTTTCGTTGCTGCGTCTCTCGCACTCATGAGCGCCCTTCATAGGTACGAGTGAGACAGGCGAAAACCATTGAGTGAGCTGGCCTGGGCACGCCCCTGCCGCCTGTATCAGTGCCGGCGTCCAGGCGCGCGTGCTCGTGCGGTTGGAAAGCAGCCGGTTGACATTTTTGAGCGGGCTGTACGCGCGGCCGCGGCCTGACGCGGAGCGCGGGGCCTAGCGGGGCCGGGGCGACGTCCTGTGGTCCTGGGCGGGACTCGGCCAGACACGGCGGGACGGGACGGGCTGGTACCTCTTGGCCGTGGCCGTGGGTGTCGCTTGCGCCTCGTCTCGCCGCGCCGTGTGCGTGGGGTGTCTGATCGGCGCTGCTTCTTGCGGCCCGCTGCAGACGGATCCCGAGAGTCGTTTTTGTCGCTCTGTCTCTCTCGCACCCACGCGGGACCTCCCATGAGTGCGAGAGAGAGAACGACTCTCGGAATCCGCGTGCTGGCTGCCCCGGATATGCGATGCGCCCTGCCGGCCACGCGCCACGCGATGCCTTGCTGGCGATGGAAATGCGAGCAGCGGCCGTGGCGGGCAGCGGGCCCTTTCCGTCTCTCTCGCACCTTTACCGCACGGCCCCTGCGTGCGAGAGAGGCAGAGCGACGAAAGCTTTGTTCGCCATGAGCCCGACGGCGGGGCGGTGTGTGCAACGGGAAGCTGGCCCTGGCTTTGGCTGCTTCAGCAGACTGATTCCAAGAGCTCTTTCTCTCACCTATTCGGGACGGCCCATGAGAGCGAGAGAGACAGCGACGAAAACGACTTTGAATCAGTCTGCTGCAGCTTCTACGCTGACGAGGCGTGGGCTCGCGCGCAACTGAAACAACATTTGCCTCGTTGGAACGGTACGGGCGCTCGTCCGCGTGCCGCGGTGCGTCCGCGGTGCGTCCGCGCACGGTCCGGCCCGGTCCGCGGAGGCCGCGGGGGGTCCTCTAGGACGGGGCCGCCCCGCGCCGCGCTGCGCCGGCCTCGGTGACTGACCCGTCTGCGGGTGAGCCGAGCCCCGCGCCGGGTGACCGGGTCGCCGGTCCCCCGGTCTGCGACGTCGACGGATGCTACTGTGCCCCCTCGCGCCCCTGCCCCGCCCCCACCGCCACGCCGACTTACTACTCGGCCTGACGGGAGGGGGCCGGGGTCGCCCCTCGTTTCAACTCTCCACTGAAGTGAATGGGCGCGCGCGACCCTCAAGGCCGCCGTGGTGCTTGCACGTGCCGCGGGCCGCCGCGGCGTACGTACACTGCGGTGGAGGTGCCACTGCGTGAATGCACGGCCAACCGGTTGTGCATCGCATCGGCATCGCCTGGTGCAGCGCGGCAGAGCGGGGTACTGCACAGCCCCGTGGTGTCGCTGTGACCTCCGCAGACTGATTCCGAGAGTCGTTTTCGTCGCTCTGTCCCTCTCGCAGTCATGGGGCTTCCCCGTGCAGGTGCGAGAGGCTGCGACGGAAACGATTCTCGGAATGAGTGTGCAGGGACCAGCACGGGCCATTCGTATGCAGGCCTTCCGGCGTGAGTCACCCGTGTTTGGGTCGTGGGAGGCCGGAGGGACACACTGGCGCGTGCCGCCGCCCCGCGCCGCCGTGCGGCCCGGCCAAATGTCAAGAGGGTGTTAGTGTGTGCCTTTGGTTTTCCGGCCGAAAGGTTACTGGGGCAGAACGCCCTGCGGTCCGGGCGGGGCGGGGGGCGGGGCGGCGGGGCCACAACAGGTGGCGTTCCCCAGGCTGTCCGTCCTTCCGGCGGGGCGTGCTCGGGGCGTGCGACCAGCGTGGCCGTCGCGGCCGGCCGGAGCGGCTCGCCGTCACGGGGTTGCCGTCGGGGCTTTCTCGGCGTGCGCCGCAAGGTGCAGACTGATTCCGAAAGTCGATTTCGTCGCTCTGTCTCTCTCGCACCTGTACGGCACGCCCCATGATCTCAGGAGAGGCGAGAACGACTCTCGGAACGAGTCTGCCGCAGTTTTCCGGCCCGGGGCGTCCTTGTGGCCGTCTGGGCCGGCGGCGCGGCACAGCGTGGCCGCCACGGAGCCCCAATTGGGGCACGCCAATTGTCCGAGGCGATGGGGCAGCAGCCTAGAGCAGGCTGCCAGCAGGGGCAGCGCGACGCAGCGCGACGAGGACATCCGGCGTGCTCTAGGCGCTACTCGGCCTCTTCGCGGTGCCTGCGGGCCGGTCGCTGTCGCCCTCGCACTCGCGGGGGTCGCCGCGGAGGTGCGAGAGAGGCAAAGGGATGAGAGGAACCGCGGCCGGCGGCTGGTCGATCGCCGTGCGACCGGACTGTCTGTCCCACTGCGGGGGCGTGGCGGGGCGTGGCGGGGCGCGGGGCCGCCATATGGTGGGCGTCAGCGCACGGAGTGGCGTTGCCCCCGCGCCCCGCGGGTTGCCGCTGCGAGTGTCGGCGCGCTTTGCGGCGCTTTGGCGTTGGCGACGCGGGATTAGTGGCCGCGGTTTAATCGGCGCTTCAATTGGCGAGTGGCCGCGAGTACAGTGGCGGGGCGGGCCAAGCCTGGCCGAGCCCCGCGGGGGGTGCGCCGCCAATGCGCCGCCATGGCGGTGGCCTCAATCTGTTGGTAAACAGGCGACTTTGCGTACGGCCGCACAATGCCGCCGTGCCGCCCCCGTCCGGATTCGGCGTGGCTGTTGTAGACTGGTTCCGAGAGTCGTTTTCGTCGCGCTGTCTGTCGCACCTGCACGGAACGCCCCATGAGTGCGAGAGAGACGGAGCGACGAAACCGACTCTCGGAGTCGGTCTGCTGCTTGTCTGCTTGGCGGTGCGGTTTGGGCCGCGCCGCGTGCCGCGTTTTCGGCGCGCTGTGGCGTCGCCTCGCCGCGGACGGGGCTTCGGCGCGGCCGCCTCCCTGCCCTGCCGGCCCTGCCCAGACTGGCAGTCGCTGGGCAGGCTGCCAGAGACTAACTGCGAAGCGCATTTCTGTTGACGAGCTCGGGGTGCTGAAGCGGCTGAAGCACGGTGCAGCGCGCTGAAGGGAAAAGGCTTGCAGATCCTGGCGGCCTGCGGAACTGCGCGGCTTGTAGTCTGCCTCGCTCTGTCTCTCTCGCACCCCCTGCGCAACGAGGGAAGCACCGTGAGTGCGACGGAGACAGAGCGTCGAAAGCTCTGCCGGCCTTGTTTGCCTCGGGACGGCGCGACACCTTTCCTTTCCTTTCGCCGCGTCGCGGTGGTGCACTGGGTTAGCTCCTCCCCCCTTTCCCCCGCGCGCTGGCTTTTGGGCCGCCCTGCCCTGCCGCCCCCGCAGCCCTGGCGGGGCACTGGCGGGGCACTGGCGGATCGATGGGGGCCTCGTGGTGCCCCTGTGACGCAAGAAGGGCCCGGCAAGGACGGGGGCGGCGAGCCGGGCCTAGCCAGCCTAGCCGGGCCACTGTGGGCCAGAAGCCGGTGGAGGCGGCCAAAACCCCGGACGCGTTTTGAGCTCCAGAGTCGCTGAATGGGACTCGAACCGAACGTGTGACCCCCACCAATCGATTCCTCGTTCGGAGAGCAATCCATTGGTGGGGTCACGCGCTCGGTTCGAGTCCCATTTAGGACTCTGGAGCTCAAAACGCGTCCGGGGTTTTGGCCGCCTCCACCGGTCTTCTGGCCCACTGTGCGGGCCGCGGGGAATACCATGCCTGGAGGCTGCCGAGCGAGGCGTGCCGTTCCAAAGGGAGCAATTCCCTGGCCATGCCCGCGTTTGGTCCGCCCTGCAAGTGGGAGAGAGGCAGAGCGCGCCAACTTAATATTTTATTTTATTTTTGGAGTTTTATGTTTGAAACTTCTACAGATTCTATGTATGCATAGAATAATTTCAATTCAAAATTCAATATTTAATTCAATTTATCTTGCTCATAACATTTTTACCAGATACAGGCGCTCAAAATGTCATTGTTGAGTTTGCGTCCCTTGGAGAGAGACAGAGCGACAGGACCGGCCTTTCGACTCAGGCTGCTCTGTCTCTCTGGCGTCTAAAAGAAATGCACCATGAGTGCAAGAGAAACAAAAGCAATGTTCAAATTCGCTCTACTGCCAATGACTGGAAATTTGGCAGCATATGGCTGCCTGATGCGAGATGGTGACTTTGGCTCAACTGTGGTCCTTTTGTTTCAGCTTACAAATGTGGGGATCAACCAAGCCTCCGTGAGCTTCAACTCCCTCACGATGGAGTCGGACAAATTCATTTGCGTCAAGGAGAAGATGGGAGACACCTCGCAGGTGGTCATCATCGACATGGCCGACCCCACGAACCCCATCCGCCGGCCCATCTCTGCAGACTCAGCCATCATGAACCCTGCATCCAAGGTCATTGCCCTGAAGGGGAAGGCTGGCGTTGAAGGTAAAAAATTGGACCTGAATGGTAGTGGAGTCTTGCACTGACTGGAGAAATTTATGTTCACTTGCTTTTGTTGTTTTTCAGCCCAAAAGACTTTGCAAATCTTCAACATTGAAATGAAGAGCAAAATGAAGGCCCACACAATGACAGAAGATGTTATTTTCTGGAAGTGGATCTCATTGAACACATTGGCGCTTGTCACCGAGACTTCGGTTTTCCACTGGAGCATGGAAGGTAGGCTTTTTATCGTGTGCGTATGCATAGTTTTGTCTATGCAAGCAAACCTTTTCTTATTTCTTCCTATTTCCAGGTGATTCAACCCCGCAGAAGGTCTTCGACCGCCATTCAAGTTTGAATGGTTGCCAGATCATCAATTATCGCACAGACCCCAAGCAACAATGGCTGCTTCTCATCGGAATTTCGGCTCAGCAGAATAGAGTAGTTGGAGCAATGCAGCTCTATTCAGTGGAGCGTAAATGCTCACAGCCCATTGAAGGTCATGCTGCCTCCTTTGCCCAGTTCAAGATGGAGGGCAATGCAGAACTGTCCACCCTGTTTTGCTTTGCCGTGCGCACTGTTCAAGGAGGGAAGTTGCACATCATTGAAGTTGGTCAACCTCCAGCTGGAAACCAACCTTTCTCCAAGAAAGCTGTAGATGTCTTTTTCCCACCTGAAGCTCAAAATGATTTCCCTGTTGCTATGCAGGTAAGCTCTCATTTGAATTTCTGTAGCGAGTCTGTGTTGTTTGAAGCAAATTTATGCAATGTCCCTTTGCCTTTCAGGTGAGCTCAAAGTATGATGTCATTTATCTCATCACCAAGTATGGGTACATTCACATGTACGACATTGAATCTGCCACTTGCATCTACATGAACCGAATTTCTGGCGATACCATCTTTGTTACTGCTCCTCATGAAGCGTCTGGAGGGATCATTGGTGTCAACAGGAAAGGACAGGTACTTTCCCCGTTCCCGTCTTTTTCTTGAATTGATAAACCTAGGCTGTTATGTTACTATAATCTTGTTTCTATTGCAGGTTTTGTCAGTGTCAGTTGAGGAAGATAATATCATTCCATACATCAACACTGTGCTAAACAACCCTGACTTGGCCTTGAGAATGGCAGTTCGAAACAACTTGGCTGGTGCTGAAGATCTATTTGTACGCAAATTTAATCAACTGTTCGCCAGTGGCAGCTATACTGATGCTGCTAAAGTAGCTGCCAATGCTCCCAAGGGCATTTTACGTACACCTGTAACCATTGCCAAATTCCAGCAAGTGCCTACTCCAGCTGGACAAACATCCCCTCTTCTGCAATACTTTGGCATCCTCTTGGATCAAGGCCAGCTCAACAAGTTCGAGTCTCTGGAGCTGTGTAGGCCTGTGCTGCAACAGGGCCGGAAGCAGTTGCTGGAGAAATGGCTGAAAGAAGATAAACTTGAGTGCTCTGAAGAATTGGGAGATCTTGTGAAGCAGGCAGATCCTACTCTCGCCTTGTCTGTCTACCTACGTGCCAATGTGCCAAACAAAGTCATCCAGTGCTTCGCCGAAACTGGCCAGTTCAGCAAGATTGTCTTGTATGCCAAGAAAGTGGGCTACACCCCTGACTACGTCTTCTTGCTGCGCAATGTGATGAGAATCAATCCAGACCATGGAGTGTCATTTGCTCAGATGCTTGTGCAGGATGATGAACCCCTCGCTGATATCAATCAAATTGTGGACATCTTTATGGAGCAGAACATGGTACAACAGTGCACTGCATTCCTGTTGGATGCTCTGAAGAACAACCGTCCTGCTGAAGGCCCTCTTCAGACTCGCTTGTTGGAGATGAACTTGGTTTCCGCACCCCAAGTTGCTGATGCTATTTTGGGCAATCAGATGTTCACTCATTACGACAGAGCTCACATTGCCCAGCTTTGTGAAAAAGCGGGACTTCTTCAGAGAGCCCTTGAGCACTACACCGACTTGTATGACATCAAGAGGGCAGTGGTTCACACGCACCTGCTCAGCCCTGAGTGGCTCGTCAATTTCTTCGGCACTCTGTCTGTGGAAGACTCCCTTGAGTGCTTGAAGGCCATGCTGACCAACAATATTAGACAGAACTTGCAGATTTGTGTCCAAATTGCTACCAAGTACCATGAACAACTAACAACAAAGGCTTTAATAGACCTCTTCGAATCCTTCAAGAGCTATGAGGGTCTGTTCTATTTCCTTGGCTCCATTGTTAATTTCAGCCAAGATCAAGAGGTGCATTTCAAGTACATCCAAGCTGCCTGCAAGACTGGTCAAATTAAGGAAGTTGAGCGTATCTGTCGAGAATCAAACTGCTACAATTCAGAAAGAGTGAAAAATTTCCTGAAAGAAGCTAAGCTTACTGATCAACTCCCGCTTATCATTGTTTGTGATCGCTTTGACTTTGTTCATGATTTGGTCTTGTACCTTTACCGCAACAACCTCCAGAAGTACATTGAAATTTATGTTCAGAAAGTGAACCCTTCAAGATTGCCAGTTGTTATCGGAGGCCTTTTGGATGTTGACTGCTCAGAAGACATCATCAAAAATCTTATTCTTGTTGTCAGAGGTCAGTTCTCCACTGATGAGTTGGTGGAAGAAGTGGAGAAGAGAAATCGCCTGAAGCTGCTTCTGCCGTGGTTGGAGTCACGTGTCCATGAAGGATGTGTTGAGCCTGCCACTCACAATGCTTTGGCCAAAATTTACATTGACAGCAACAACAATCCTGAGAGATTCCTCAAGGAGAATCAGTATTATGACAGCAGAGTAGTTGGCAAGTACTGTGAGAAGCGTGATCCGCATCTTGCATGTGTGGCGTATGAACGGGGCCAATGTGACAGAGAGCTCATCAATGTTTGTAATGAGAACTCTCTGTTCAAGTCAGAAGCACGCTACCTTGTCAGGAGGCGTGATGCTGAATTGTGGGTTGAGGTTTTGAGTGAAAGCAATCCTTTCAAGAGACCTCTCATCGATCAGGTGGTACAGACTGCCTTGTCTGAAACTCAAGATCCTGAGGATATTTCTGTTACTGTGAAGGCTTTCATGACTGCTGATCTTCCCAACGAATTGATTGAGCTCTTGGAAAAGATTGTTTTGGACAATTCTGTCTTCAGTGATCACAGAAACTTGCAGAACCTTCTTATTCTGACTGCCATCAAAGCAGACAGGTCAAGAGTGATGGAATATATCAACCGCTTGGACAACTATGATGCTCCTGATATTGCAAACATTGCCATTAACAACCAGTTGTATGAAGAAGCTTTTGCTATTTTCAAGAAGTTTGATGTCAACACTTCTGCCATTCAGGTCCTCATTGATCATGTTGACAACTTGGACAGAGCTTATGAATTCGCTGAGCGTTGCAATGAGCCTGCTGTTTGGAGTCAATTGGCCAAGGCGCAACTTCAGAAGGGGCTGGTGAAGGAAGCCATTGATTCTTTCATCAAGGCTGATGATCCCTCAGCATACATGGATGTCGTTTCAACTGCTCACCGCACTGAGAACTGGGAAGATCTGGTTCGCTACCTTCAAATGGCTCGCAAGAAGGCAAGAGAAAGCTACATTGAATCGGAACTAATTTATGCTTATGCCCGCACAAACAGACTGGCTGATTTGGAAGAGTTCATCTCTGGTCCTAACCACGCTGATATTCAGAAGATTGGTGACAGGTGTTTCGATGATAAGATGTATGATGCTGCCAAACTTCTATATAACAACGTCTCTAACTTTGCTCGTCTTGCTATCACCCTAGTGCATTTGAAGGAATTCCAGGGTGCCGTTGATGGTGCTCGTAAGGCAAACAGCACTCGCACATGGAAAGAGGTATGTTTTGCCTGTGTAGACAGTGAAGAATTCCGCCTTGCCCAAATGTGTGGGTTGCACATTGTTGTACATGCAGATGAATTGGAAGACTTAATCAACTATTATCAAGATCGTGGATACTTCGAAGAGCTCATTAACCTGTTGGAGGCTGCCTTGGGATTGGAGCGAGCCCATATGGGAATGTTCACTGAACTGGCCATTTTGTACTCTAAGTACAAACCTGCCAAGATGAGGGAACATTTGGAGCTTTTCTGGTCACGAGTGAATATCCCCAAAGTTCTGCGAGCTGCTGAACAGGCTCATTTGTGGGCTGAGTTGGTATTCCTATACGATAAGTATGAAGAATATGACAACGCTGTGTTGGCTATGATGACCCACCCCACAGAAGCATGGCGTGAAGGCCACTTCAAAGACATTATCACTAAGGTTGCCAATATTGAACTGTATTACAAGGCCATTCAGTTCTACATGGATTACAAGCCATTGTTGCTGAATGATATGCTGCTTGTATTAGCTCCACGAATGGATCATACTCGAGCTGTTAACTTCTTCACCAAAACTAAACACCTTCAATTAGTGAAACCCTATCTTCGATCAGTGCAATCGCTTAACAACAAAGCAATAAATGAAGCTCTTAACAACCTCCTCATTGAGGAAGAAGACTACCAAGGATTACGCACATCAATTGATGCCTTTGATAACTTTGACAACATCGCCTTAGCCCAAAAATTGGAAAAGCATGAACTAACGGAGTTCCGCAGGATTGCTGCTTACTTGTACAAGGGAAACAACAGATGGAAGCAGAGTGTGGAGCTTTGCAAGAAGGACCGTCTTTATAAGGTCAGTTTACATACTTCTCATGTTCATTCTAGTAGCTTGAGTGGAAATTGGTATTAACAGGCGTTTATTTTACAGGATGCAATGGAATATGCTGCAGAATCCAAAAATCCAGAGCTTGCAGAAGAGTTGCTCGCATGGTTCCTGGAGAAGGGATCATTTGATTGCTTTGCTGCATGTTTATTCCAATGCTACGACTTGTTGCATCCAGATGTCATCTTGGAACTTGCATGGAGACACAACATTATGGACTTCGCCATGCCTTATCTCATACAGGTTGTGAGAGAGTACATTACTAAAGTAAGTGCCGAGAATTTTATTTTATTTGGATGTATTTTGTTACTTAATTTGTAGTAACACCATTATTTGTTTATAGGTTGACAAACTGGAAGAAGCAGAATCACAAAGAGAAACGGAGACATCAGAGCATGAGCACAAACCTATGATGATTCGTAAGTAACTGTTTCTAGACTGTTCAGATTGTTCATTCCATCCTGGCTGTGATCTAACTAACCTGAATGTTTGCAGAGGAAGCACAGCTCATGCTGACTGCGGGTCCTGGGATGATGCCAGCTTATAGCCCAGCATACAATGCTGGTTACACTCCAGGCATGCCCTACCAGGGCTATGGCATGTGAACTAAATGAATGGAGCTTTAAAACTCCGCTGCCTGTGATGGCTCTGTCCTTGACTTAGTTGGTATAAATGCTATATATTGTATATTTGTGGTTGCAAAGCAAACCTATATAAATCTGACAATATTGTCCTATATCTGTTCTAAAAGCTCCAATGAATATTTTTCTGGTTACTTTTTTCTTTTCCATCCCTCTAGATGGTAGTGGATATGAACAAAAGTAATCTGGTGTTTCATTCCAGATGTTGTAGCATGGTGTATGTGAGATCTTAATTTTAAGAGGCTGATTGTGGCTAATCAAATCCTTCTGTTTGTGCGATGTTTACCCCTCCCCTTTTTAATGTAAATTGTTTTGAATTCTTTTGCACGCTTCAATCATCTTTTCGTGTCTGTTCATGGTGATAGAAAATGGTGAACATGTTCACGATGTTTTTAAGTACATATATTAAAATTTCTTAACTGTTTATATCAAATAGCCTGTTCTGTCTGCACCAAATGACTTGTTTTAATCTGAAAATTGCTTATAAGTGCTCATCTATTTTTACTTTTGCATTTTGTTCTTGTCTAGACAGTCTTTGTTATTTATTTGTTACATTGCCTTAGAAATGGTACATTGTAAAGAGATTCAAATTTATGAAAGGCTTGTAATGTCATTAGATGGTAAGCGGTTTATATGCATGTGCTCTCATTTTATTTAGCACTTCAGTAAAGAGTGGAAATTATTTTTAACGTTGTTTTTAACAGAATTCAGTGTTCTGTTATGTTGTTGGCCCATTGTTGTAGATATCCGTACTATATTGTATGTAATCCAGTGCTACTTATTGACTTTACTTTTGCGTCAAATGTGTGCTGCTCCTGTGTCTGTTGTGATCAATATGACAGTTACTTCTCATTGCAAATGATTTCAGCACTAGAGATGTATAAAAAGAAAAAAAGAGTATTGTATTGTCCGACTGTATCAATAAACTTTACAGAGTATTGTCGACCAAATCTAGTCTATTTTCTTGTTTGTCTCCAGCTTTCTGTCACTTTTCCCCACTTGTCCGGCGGCCCAGAGGCCAGACCACACTTGAAGGGGTTGTCAATTGTCCTTTTGCCCCTTTACTAGACCCGCGCTTGGACTTATATCAAGTCTGGGTGAGAGGGCTATTTTGGCCCAAAAAGACCCTTTTCTGGTCATCGAGTTTGTAGGAAAAGAAAGGGAGAATTAAAGGAAGAGATAATCAGTCAATAACTTTAATCATGACAGTACAATCAAATTTCCTGCAACGGTATTGCAAATAGTGTTGATTGCATGACAATATTTAAATCAACATCTTTTACTCTAAAAGTATGAAATGGCAGTTATTGCATCTAACTGCTATCCCTCTAACAAAAGTTTAAGATGTCACAATTGTAACGAAGCCAAGCCAGCATTTCAGTGCAAAACTTCTACAATTGATGATAAACTTTGATATGATCAACAGTGGTATAGACTCAAGTCCTTGCTAGCAAAAGGGATGAATAAAATAACATACAATAACATGACTTAGACCGTAACTTACATATTGGTACCGTACAACACATAAATGTGCTTTGCTCGTACGATTTAACATCAGCTCATAGAGCTAATAATGAATAAATTTAAAGAAAATTTATTTAAGTTATGAAAGTAAGTATGAATTTATGTAGTAGATATAAATTTACACAGCACTTAAAAAATAGTAACAGTGAAATAGTAAATTTGTCAATATTCCCTAAGATAATTACTCTTAAATGTGTGTACAAAGTTCTATAAAGCACACAATAGACATTAAAAAAAAAAGATAAAGATTAACAAATTTCGGTCTGGGCATACACACTAATTATTTTGTTTCTATCACTGAATCAGCGTTTTTAATACAAAATAAGTGATGGAGAAAACTCTTTACAGATCATTAAGGTAGTTATACAAGTTACACTCAATATCCAAACCCAGAATTGATCTCATCAAAGAACAGTTGTAACAGTGGTCCCAATCAAAACCTATTTCAGCAACAATTTTCCACGCCAAAGAAAGGTCATGTTGTTACAATCCATATTTAAAAGGTGGTGGTAGTTAAATTGTCTGTCTTCTTTTTTTAAAAGTGGATTATGCATAAATGTCTGAAGGTCATTAGTCACAAAAAAATTTCATTCAACAAGAGCCACTACAGTATTTCTTAAATCCCAATATTGACTAACTAATGAAGGTTTTGCCAGGAAGACGAGCGACAATGACTTGTGCACTTGGTCCTCAGTACCACTAACTGCATGCAAATTTATTGTCTTCTTCAATAAGACAATACCCCATAGATGACAAAGAAGGCTACCAAATACCTGACACAAAAAAATTCAACATGTGCTTGAATGAGTCTCCCCAGAGGAGAGACTGGATAGTACTGACAGGTTCAGACCAACCATAATGGGCAATTTAGCTACAGAATAATCCGTATTGCGATTTGCTATTAAACTACTGGCAAGAAAATACATAAATAATATCAAACTTTATTTCATTGAGGAACATAAGCAGTTTTGTTTGTGGTTTAAAGGTAAGTTTCCGTTATGTTCAAAGTTTGCTCATGAGCCTAATTTTGCTGTACAGATTAACTAATGGAAATCGGAAATGGATTTTAGTGGTAAGAATGTCATCCTTCGCAAACAGTTTCAAAACCCTTTCAGGCAAAAACGTTAATTTGGAATTCATGTTTATTTTTAACAACTAAGTAATTGCATTTCATAGACGCTTGTCACCAACATACTATGAATTTATCACAGAGGCAAATTGTTGCAACATTTTAACTGGTACAACTTTGTACAATTTAGAGACAATGGAGACATTGCAATAATGTAAATAAGTAATGATGTAATCTGAAGGGAATTTTTATTTCTCTGAAAGAATGATAAACCAGATCACAAACCACAGGCACAAACTCTAGCCAAGGAGGAAAATCAATTCAGAATAAATTGGACAATAAAGTCAGATTTGTTCTGAGAATGTTACAAAGTTTAGTGATTATTCACTGATTCCTTTGGCATTTTTACATCCTTGTGACTCTCTGAAACTATTTACAAAACCAGAAATCTTGCCACAGAAACAACAGCTTCAGGCAGATGATTAAGGCTTTACTCATTGTTCATTTTAATGTCTAAATGAAGTAATTTTGTGATCTCTCTATGTGTTTTGAGTATCCATTTTGAGATCATTCTTAGCAAAAGTACACAGCCTTTAACAAAAATATTCAATTAGGTCCCTGAGGCTGCAAAGTCCACCCTTCTGTATTGAGCCCTGATGGAAATCTTGAGTGAGGAATAGATTTCTAAGGAACTGCAGGGGAATATATCTTCATCCATTGGGGTGCAGAACACGACTCCTGTGCACAAAAGCAATCAATTTACATACCGCAACAATATATAGAAGATCCATCAAGTAACTTTCAAACGCGAGAGAAAAATATGAATTTGATTTTGTGTATAGCACAAGCTTGCGAGCACTCCGACACAGAAAAATATGAAAGTTAAAATAATACCCTTACCTCATTCATTTCCTATAACAGACATGGAACAGAAGCCCAGAATCAAATAAAATGTTAGTGTTCACACATAAAGAAGATCTCTTCCTATTTTGAGAAAAGAGACAAGGTCCAAGTATTGGTCAAAACTTGCTTTACTGTAATGGCAATTGATTATTTCTCTATTCCATTATGAAAAATAAATTACATCTGTGAAAGGTTAGAGTTCAAACCATACTGTGTGTTGACACAAATTCACTTGAACTCACAGCACAAACAAAACAAGCACTTAGCCCACAACAAACAAACTTCATATTCTTTATAGCACTAAAAAACTATATTTCCCTCGAGACATGGATTTTAAATTGGAAAGGCCTCAGTACCAGAATTTCTCTACCTTAAGGCATGTGCAGAAATCACAGCATTGGCCCCTTCTTTCCTCTCAACATAGAATAACTACATCTGGTACACTTTGTTGACACACAAAGGCCACAATGATGAGGCCCAAAGTGCAGTAAAAAGAAGCATCTAATATTAAGATTAGACTTAGGATAAATGCAACATTTGAATTTTAGATTAGTATAACTCAAGAGCTTGCCAGATAACATGAAAGCTGCACATGATTCCCTGCTTCATTCAACAAAGTAATGAAGGGGTGATTTTAATGCACCCCAAAGAGAACAAGCGGGCCAAAATGAGGTCATAATGAGGTCTAAGGATATAATTTTGACGTCCAAGAGACATACATCCTTTCGCATCAGATTGACTACATTTGAGCTTAGTTTTGACCTGCTGTTCTCCCTGGAACCCTTCTATTTAGAGTCATGCACCCCTTGTCACATGCTATGTCACTTGCAATCTCCAATTGAATTATTTTCAGTTCTGATAAGCTCCCAACTAGTCAAGATTCTCTACAACAGGCAACAGTCATCCTATGCAACAATTGTACAGGCACAAATATTTCATACACATCAACAAAATATATTGTCCTACGCTACACCTATCACAACATACACAAGATACCACAGATGAACACTTGAATAAATAAATATTAAATAAATAGCACAGCAAATAAAACTTACAAAACAAAAAAAAATCTATCTGATTTCCAAAATGCCAAAAGAGCATCTGAGTGCACTACTACATGCATTCATGGACAATAAGAAATAAAAATGTACACTGATAGGTACAGCCAACAAACTAGGCAAAACTTAAGATGGCAAGATTGTGGCAATATTATGATACTCAGACACGAGCTTCCACTACGATGAGCATCCATGTGTGCATGACATGCAACAAAAACACCTCAATAAATTTATTATTTACCGTAATTGACCAGCCTTGCATAGGTAAGGCAAGACTGGCACTGTTGGCAAGAAAACACAACAGAGATACATTGAAGCCCCAGCTCTCTCATATAAAGTCATTATCATAAAGAAACAAACTTCTAAACTACTATATACTATGAAACAAACATTTTACTGGTTTTGATTTTGAGCATAAATGTGTGCATAAGCAACTGAAAATCCTACTATCAGTTCAAAAAATCACAAAACTGCACAAGTTTAATGTGTAAACTCTATTAAAAATATTTAACTTTAAGGGATATTTCTTCCATTGATTCATAAATAAAAAGAAACTAAGTAGAAATCACAGAAAATTTCTCTCTGAAGGCTTTATAACCTTTCTTTGTACACCTAAAAGGTACATGCAAAAAGAAAGATGAACTTCCTTTAGCGTAACTACATTAAGTTTGTTTTCGTCTGCGAAATGACCAACGAGTCATAATCCTACGAAAGCTAGAGGATCGTTTTGAAGAAATCAGTACGCCAGGTTCCTCAGTCGACAAAGAGATGAGGTGAGTGTCTGGGATGGATGGAAGCAAGGTAGCAGGGACTGGCATATTTCCTGCAGGGGCGGTTGGGGCAGCCATGGAAACACTTGACTTGACCAAATCGCTAGAAATAAATAATTTGGTCTTAGAAGACTATGGTCAGTCTATGGATAAAATAACACCAGCTATGTTTTCTAATGTTATGATTCTGAGGTGATTTAAAGGGGGAGAAAAAGAAGCATAAAATAGTCATGTGAAAAATTTAAGTTCTACGGCAAATTCATGCATCAAATTTGCTAAAAAGTGCAACTAGAGCTAAATACAGTAAAATTCCACCATAACAAACGCTGGTATTACAAAATCTTTGACGATTCTGTGATCCAGACTCATTATAATGGGGTTTGACTGTGTTTCTAAATCAACAAAAGACTCTCTCAGCACCACAAAATGCACAGATACAAGAGACAAACTGCCAAACTCCATGCCAAACATCACAAGGCCTAATGACCAATGAGAAGCATGCCCATGAGGGTGTTATGAACAAAACCAACACATTCAGCAACACATTAAAATAAAATTGAGATACTCACTTAATTTTCCCAGTTTTCAATCTTCCTAATTTGATGGTAACCTTGCCAAGAACAGTCTTGAGCACTGCAGCTGCCTCCTCTTGAGATGCTGCCTTCAGATCCTGTCCATTGACGGACATGATTTGATCACCTTTCATCAGACGGCCGTCAGCTTCAGCTGCACCTCCATGTATCTAGAAGCAAATTAAACTTTGTTAAATCAAATGGACAGTTCTAAATTTTTTTATTTTAAAAAGCAAAACAAAACTGCAACTCACCAAGTCTGCTATGTAGACACCTTTACCATCCTTGCGTGCGACTAGACTTAGTCCCAATCCTTTCCCTGACTTTTTAGTTAGTTCAACATCGATTGATTCAAAAATATCTTCCCCCTTTTCAACGGCTTCATCTCGGTACACTATCATTTTCACCTGCAATATCATACAAGATAATAGAAGAGTGATCCTACAGTTTCTTTCGAGAGCTTCATTTCTTAACACAACAGCAAGAAATACTTACTTTTGCTGGTAACTGTCGCAATGCAGCAATGGCTTTGCTGTGAGTGATGCTATGGAAATCATACGTTACGGTGTCTTTAGGTCCACCTACTTCCAAAATCTGGTCACCAACTTTAAGTCTGGCATCTTTGGCTATAGCACCATCGGGGAAGATTTCATTGATCACAATAACTCCCTATTACAAAAAAGCAAAAAAAAAAAAAAAAAAAAAAAAAAAGAAAGAAAAAAAAACAATGTGTAAATGTGAAGCAAACATTTAGTTAAATTTTTGCTTTGAAGAGAGATTATTACCAGTGGGGTATCAGAGCCACCAACAATAGAAAGACCTAGGGCTTTCTCTTCTTTAGCTATTTCAATAGTTGTTTCTTGCCCTGCCACAACAGGAGCAGTAGCCGGAGGAAGAGCAGGTTGTTCTGAGTGACGAGACGGAGAATGATGAGCAGTTCGCGAAGCAGTAGCAAGAGGCACGTTTTGAGAATCCAATCCTGCGCAAAGGAAGATAGAATAAATTTGATGGAAAAAAGAGCAAACTAAAGAGGCAATAATTTTGAATTGAATTGGACAAAATTAGGTCTTTCTATTTTCATCATCAGTTCCCAGAGTTTCTTGTCTGTTTATCTTAGCTGTTAATCAAGTCCCCCCCACCCCCTTTTTCCTGCAGAAAGTGTTTGGGCAGGTCAAAACATTATAATCTTGATGTGAAAACAGTAAACCTGACAGCTTTCAATGGGTTTAAACAGCATTATTTCAGCCTTGTCTACAAGCATACTCACATGCAGATGCCATATCCACAATGATGAGGCAAAGCACAAAAGAGAATCACAATGGCATTAGCAAGGCGACTTTGTTCCACATTAAACACTAATTCATTAAATGTCTACCCCGCCAAGTGATTCGCAAATTTGTTTGAGAGGCACTTAATACTCAAGATAGATTATGATGGTAAACAATTATGATTGAGTTATGATTGTAATCAATTTGCAGCTTTCAATTTTGAAGTTAACAGGACTACAGGTGGAAAAGTATCTGACACTCGGGGTGGGTTTTTCAATCCCCGCGATAAAACGTTGAATTTAGTGGGGTACAGTGTGCGAGGTACAATCGGCTCCATAGTAGGTAGTACAGCACCTTAGATTAAAGTTAACATTGAGATGAAAAGTAATTATGGTTGAAGTATAGATAGTCACAAAGCAACACCGCTTGTTGTAACATAGAACACAAGAGCATGCGATTGAGTTGCCAAGAGGCATGCACTACACACACCCACTATATCTTATGGGCCTTCTTAGCTTGGCCAATGGTCAGGTCACACACATCATTGAAAATCTCCTTGAGAGTTTCACACAGCAATCTGAAAGCCACAATATAAAAAGAATTGGGAACCTACTTGGCTTTTCAGGGACAGCTGGTTGTGTTGGAGTAGGACTACGAGCTGTAGAACCTTTTGCATTCAGTTTCCCATCCGCTGCTTTCCTTTCCTCCTCCTTTGCTTTATTGGGATTACACACTACTAAGTTAACCATTCCTTTTGTTTCTTTTAATAACGATGCAGCCTGCAATCCACAAGAAACAATTTTTAGACTTAATGTAGCTAAAACAGTCAGTTTCAAATCAAAAATTTTTAAACGCTAAGCTCTAAGAGTGAAATTAAACTTACCGCCTCATAATTAGAGCCCAGCAAAGAATCCTTGTTAACTGCCAGGATCATGTCTCCTACAGTAAGCCCCGCCTGAAAATTTAATTTATATTAAAAAATTGTTCCAATTATCTTTTATATTAGGACTTAAAATGTGCTCATAGTACAGTACTTTGAAGACTAATTGGAAAGTGAAAAACACATGCAAGTGCTTAAGCAGTGCTTTGTAGTAAAAGTGTTTGAAGTCTACAGGCTTAATAGTTGAATCAGCTATGGTGAAGGCCATGCACACAACTTGAAACATAAAATGTATGATGTAAATGAAGATCAACATTAAAACCAAATTATCCAAACCTAGAAAGAACTAAGGGTAACCTTCTGATCTTTAACAGAAGAGGGCATGCCACAAAATTCCTGTGGTTGAAGACTGACAACTTCATCCAGAAAAGCGCCTCTGCAATTTTAGTTGAAAAGACATTTATAAGAGCAAAGAATAATGCTAAGAACAGCTAAAAAAAAATTTGTTTTCAATGCATAGAAGCTAGGAACAGAATACTGAAGAGAAGGGGAGCGCCTATACTTCGAGCATTTCTACTAAGGAACAATGACACTTTGAAATCATGCCAACTAAACATTCAAACTCCAGGTTGGTCTAACATCAATATTATGTATTTAAGAGAAAAAGATAGCTCAAATGTTGTTAGAGCAGACATGCATTTCTCTCCATTTTCATACCTGCTCTGCAGCACTGCCCTCTTGGATGTCAGAGATAAAGATTCCCTGACCCACCTCAGCATGCTTGCCCTCAATTATCATGATTCCCAGACCCTGAGCTCCCTGCAACCATGTCGAACAAAGAGTCACCCTCACCACATACTTAGAATAATTATCCGGTTGTCAGTGAGATAAAAGCAAAAGCAATCGTTGTCACAACCAGAAAGAAGATGCAGTGCTTTAGAAGCTTTGCTGCATTTCATATGTACATCAGGTGTTAACACAACAAAAGGCACCTTTTCTGTGCAAATTGCATAAATTAGTGAACCGCTTTGTGTTAAAATGTGATTTGTGCTAGAAAGAAAAATATAGCAGCTTGTTGGTGCAATTCTGAAAGAGGAAGAGAGATGTATCACTGTTTCCAACTTGGAGAAAGAAAAGACCCTCACCTTATTGAGACAGTAAAATAAAATGAAAGAACAGTGTTTGAAGGATGTTTGTTATCCTCATTGAGGTCACAATTGACATGAGCTAAGGAATGCGTTTCTGAGATGCTACGCTGGGTAACAAACTACATGAGAGGTTTCTGGCTCAATTTATATTCTTGCTCAATTATTAAGGAAAAAGTGGAGGGAGAAGAAGCAAAGTTTGCCATCTCATGATTACACAACTGATCAGTTTCAATAATAAGTGAATGAGACAGGTATTGTTTTTTGTTCTGCAAATAAGACAACATTTTCCAAAGAGTCTTACTATTACAAAGGGTTCATTTTTACCTCTGGTTACCTTTCTCTCTGTCAATTCAGCAAAATATTGTCATTTTTTTCGTAATGTTGTAGAGATATTGATTGGACATGATAAAATTAATCCATGCAGAAAGAGTGCAGGAGGACAACATTACCTGTGGAGGGTGCGGACTGAGACTGCTCAAGGAGGTCTCCACAGGGCAGGGCTGTAAACATAATGCACGGCAACAGCTACATTACACAGTTTGGATACACAAGCAAAAACTAGCAACCTCAACAGGATATTGAATAAGCAATACAGTATAAAGGGTAAAGTGGCAATGAATGACATGATGAGCTCGGCCTTACATAAAATCTAAGGGACTTGGAAATAAAGCCAAGTACAAAGGGACATAGAATATACTGTCGAGCAAGGTTATTACCATGATTGCAAAATAATACTGTCTAAAGGAAAAGTTCTGGAGATACTCAAGCTGTAATTTAAATTGTGAATAATGCAAATAGATGTACTGTCATGTCACAAACTTGAAGACGTACCACACAGTAGTGAACATAAACTAGAATTGTAATAGATTAAAAACCATAAAAAGTAATGCAAATATGCTACATCCATTCACAGAGTAAAGAAACACACTGAAAACATCGAAATCAAACTTAAAATTACAAAAACAAATACACATAACCTCTCCCAGCATAATTACAGGCTGGAATTGGTCATTTCAAAAACGAAAGCCAAACAGTATCGTGACAACCCGAGCAAGACCGGGGGGGAAAGCCAGCAATACGGATGAAAACACCACACGACACCTGCGCCACTGACCTGAACATGAAATTTAAAGGGAGAAGGGCGGACTCGTCCCTCTTTCTCTCTCGCACACTTCTGCTGTTCACCATTGGCACATTCTCAGCCTGTTGAGACAGGAAGGGGCCCTGGGGGGGAGGAGGGGAGGGGGGACGGAAAGGCGGTTGATTTGTTTCGGCGCGGCAAGTAAATTAGAAGGTCGCGGTGGTGCTAGGCTGCGCGGTGCTGCGCGGCTGGCAGTCTAGCGGCGGCAGCGATTAGAATGTGTCGTGTGGCGAAACACTAGAATGAGAAAAAGGCACTAGAGGGGCAGTCTCGTGGAGAGCAGTGGGCTAATCCATCCGGCTGGCCTGCCTCTTCGGCCGGCCTTCTTGGCCTTGCCCCTCCCTGCAGGCCTGCAGACTGATTCCGAGAGTCTCTCTCGCACTCATGGGGCGTCCCCTGCAGGTGCGAGAGAGACAGAGCCACGAAAACGACTCTCGGAATGAGTCTGCCGCTTTGCTGCTGGCGCTGCTGGGCCCCGGCGGGGGGAGTGGGGCCAAGTGGGGCACGGGGAATGCGGCACGCATGGCGGCACGGGGAGCAGATGGTGCTGCCCTGCACCTTCCTCGAGCCCTTCTCGCGCCTCTCGCCTCCGATCAGAAAGGGGGGGGGGGAGGTGATCTGGGAAGGAAAAAACAACAGGGGGATCCGATGTGACGACGTGGAGTAAACGAGCCCTGCCCTGCGCGAATGCAGGTCGGAAGCGGACAAGAAGCAGATGGGGATAGGGCACGCAAGGCACGCAAGGCGCGCGCGGGCTGCGAGGGAAGGCCCAGGTCCAAGGCCCAGGTCCAAGGCCCAGGAGCAGGCAAGACCCGTCGCTCTGTCTCTCTCGCGTCCTCAGACTTCTACTCACGGCCCGTGAGTGCGGGGCAGAGACCGTCTCTGCTACTGTGCGTGGAAGTGAAGCACCTAATCCGGCTGGCTAGCCCGTCCGTAACGCGGGGGGCCCAAACTGCCTCCGGCAGGGAAACGGAAGGGGGGCGGGGGGCTCGCTGTCTCTGTCTCTCGCACGTGACTAGGCCACGCATCGCGTCTGGTCGCGCGTAAAGGGTGGCACGGGGCCGGCAGCAGGCCGAGTAAGGCGAGAAAGACGAGGAGGTGGCGAGGGTCTGTCCTCCTCCAACGCCCTTGCCTGGCTGCTCGGCTGCCTGGCGTGCTGCCGCCGCGACGCCGCTCGGCCCGGCCTGCCCGACCCGGCCGCCCCCCGAACTTTGTTCCTTCGATATGAATTCATCAGCATAAAGTTTGGGGCCCGCGGCGCGGCGCGGCGTGGCGGCCCCCACTACGACGGCACGATGGCCCACCGCGGCGTCGGCGGCGCGTGCGTCGTGCGCTGGCCGATGCCAAGCGCGCGGCAGACTGATGCCGAGAGTCGTTATCGTCGCTCTGTCTCTCTCGCACGACAGCGGGACGCCCCATGAGTGCGAGAGAGACGGCGCGACGAAAACGACCCTCGGCATCAGTCTGCAAAGCCGCACGCGGCTTGTTTACCCCCAAAACGAGGCACCAATATATTTCGTGTGTGTGTGTGTGTGTGTGTGCGTGCGTGTGCGTGTGTGTGCGTGTGTGCAGCAGCCCCCACGCGTCATAACCCAAAGTTTTGAGTCTCAAAGTCCCCGGCCGGGCCTGGCTGCGCCTTGCCTTGCGGCCGCGGGGCGCTATTCGCGGGCCCCGCGACGAACCCCGCGACAGAAAGGGGCGCCCAGTGCCCCAGTGCCGGGGCGCGCCGCGGACGGGGACGGGGACGGGGAGTGGACCGGGCAGCACGCTGTTTCCGAACGGTGCTTCCGTCGCGCTGTCCTTCTCGCACTCATGGAGCGACCCGTAGGGGTGAGAGGGGGACACGTCGACGGCCTGCTGGCTTGCCCCGCCCCGGTCCCGGCGCCACCGCGCCCCCTCGACCGGCCCCGAGCGGCGTATAAACGCAAAGAGACGAGACGCCGAGCAAATATTTAGCCATGCAGCGAGTGAAAGCCTGAAAGCCCTCAGAGGGCGGTGGCGGGGCGGGGCGGCTAGGCTGTGCTCGAGAGGGTCCTGCGGCGCGGGACGCTCGCGCTTGCTGGCGCTGCGGTCGTAGCCAGACTGATTCCGAAAGTGGCTTTCGTCGCTGCCTCTCTCTCGCACCTACAGACGGGACGGACGGCCCATGAGTGTGAGACAGACAGAGCGACGAAAACGACTCTCGGAGTCAGTCTGCAGCTTAGCCTCGGCCGCGGCTTCGGCCTCTGCACTGTTAAAAAAGTTATGAATTTTCAAAGCAATTTTGATGACAATTTTACGAATACGGATATGAATTTTACAAACATTGTAATTTTCATAACTTGATGCGAAAATTCGAAACAATTTCGTAAAATTGACAATTGTTGGGAATTTTAAAACCATGTTCTGAAAATTGCGAATCTTTAATGTTGATTTTGAGCACACAATAGTAATTTTCCGAATCCGATTGTAAATTTCATAACTAGCTCAAGAGGCGTGGCCAAGGGGCGCTGGTAGAGTCATCAGTAGCTGACCCTCCGCCTCCCGTGGGACGTGGTAGCACAGCGGTAAAGAGCGTGCACCACAAGTCAAAGATCCCGGGTTCAAAACCCGCCGATCAAAAGCAGAATCGGTTCAATAAATGGCATAAGGCCGCTTGGGTGTTCATATACATGAACACTTAGTTGTCCTTTTGCTTAACTGCTCTAAAATGACCTCGCAAACGCGAATATGAATTTTCATAACACGATATGAATTTTCATAACGTGATTGTAAAACAATTTACAATCATTTGTGATTTTAATTTTCATAACAATTGTTTGTGAAAAAAAATGCCAACCAATGTTATGAAAATTACAACTGATTTTTTTAACAGTGTGGTCGTAGTCGTAAGGCGCCCTAGGATCGCAGTGTGGTGGTCGTTCCGGCCCCGCGATGCCCTGGCCGTCAGGCCCTGGCCGTCATGCCGGCGTGTCACACAATGCCACTCTTGCATAAAGGGAGCCCTCCCCCTCCCCCTCCCCCGGGGCGATGTCGTTGGCTCTGAGAATATTAAATACACTGTAAAAAATGTTGCAAATTTTTGAAACCCATTGGCATGCGAAATTTTGCCACCCAATGTACAAAGACTCCAGTTGCACCCAGTGGGTTGCAGAAGGCCACTGTACCAGCCCACTTGATGAAATACATCGACCCGTTGGACAGCGAAATTTGCTATTGTGTCGTCGAAAATCCGTACATCTGAGACGAAATTCATGATTTGGGTGATTTGGGCTCTGAGCTCACCCACATGTTCAAATTTAGTATCTTGTGGGTTGAAAAAGTTGCCGTCCACGTGAGAGAATTTACACATGTGGAGATTCTCGGATGGCCCACCATGCCCACCTGTCGAAAAGTTACCATTGTGGTTAAGCTGGTCCAACTAGCGCCAAAGCAAATTTTCCATGCAGGGCGCCGTAAACGAAAGACGTCTCGAGCCGGCTGGGTCAAGTAGCGCGAGGGGTCTACGCTGCTAGCTGGTGGGCAGTGGTCGCGGGGTTGGGTCTTGAGTGGCGATTGCGGTTTCGAGCCCATGACCTCGTGATTTTTCTGAGGTCGCCCTCTTTTAAGCACCTCAACCCGGGATCTATACACGTGGGCAAGTTGAGACGTCTTGCGGCCAAGATGCGGAATCTCTGCACCTTGGGCAGCGGGGCCGCGGCTTTGCCCAGGTGAAAAAATTTCGTATGGGTGGGAAATCGGTTCCTGATCTCCCGGGCCACAAAATTTTGGCGTCAGTGGGTTACTGAATTTCACACATTGGGCCAAACTCGTGATCGAAGGGAGGCTCCGGTTTCACCACCCAAGTAGCAAAAATTTGGATCTTTTATTATACAGTGTATATCAAACCGCGCGCCGACGGCCCGACGGCGAGGGCGAACTCAGAGCCGAGGGAACAGAACAGCGAGTCAAGTCTGCGAGTCGGTAGACTCATTCCGAGACAGTCGTTTTCGTCACTCTGTCTCTCTCGCACCCATGGGGCGTCGTCCCGTACAGGTGCGACAGACACAGTGCGAAGAAAACGACTCTCGGAGTCGCACAGTGGGCCAGAAGACCGGTGGAGGCGGCCAAAACTCTAGACGCGTTTGGAGCTCCTGAGTCGCTAAATGGGACTCGAACCGAACGTGTGACCCCACCAATGGATTGCTCTCCGAACGAGGAATCCATTGGTGGGGTCACACGTTGTGTTCGAGTCCTGCTTAGCGACTCTGGAGCTAAAAACGCGTCTAGAGTTTTGGCCGCCTCCACCGGTCCTCTGGCCCACTGTGAGTCGGTATGCTGCCCTAGGGACGTGTCTGACAGGGTACTCGCTGAGGCTGCCGAGCACTGCGGAGACAGACTTATGGGTCGTTAAAGCGGCGAGGCGGGCCCGCGAGGCATTCTGCGCGCGGAGTGCTAACTTCAACAAGAATGCCAACTTCAGGTGCCTCTTCAGGGTCTCTTAACCGGTGAGCGTTAGCGACGCCGCTCCGCCCGGGATGATCCGGTTTTTGTGGTCCTACGCGAAGCGTTCGTGAGACGCTCTCCGCTGCTACGAGATGAGCATACGTAAAATTGGATTTCCGTTTGTCAAGTTGGCACTTTGGTGGCTCTCCGGCGTGCTGCTTGTCTGGCCTGCCCCGCCGGCGATGTCGTCGGGACCCTGCATGGCAATAATTAGTCATTTGACACGTCGAGGCTAAAGGTCACCCGGCGCCGAGCTGCGTGCTGTCTGAGCATCCCGGCGAACAGCGCTTTCGTCGCGCTGTCTCTCTCGCACTCGTGGGGCGTGCCGTGGGGTGCGACCGAGACAGAGCGACGGAACAAGCAGCGCCGCCAACCTGCGGACCAAACAGGGAAGACGAGACAGAGGGCCGCACCGCCGTGCCGCTACGTACCTTGTTGATGGTCACGGTGCGCAGTCCCTTGAAGTCCTTGTACCGCTCCTCGGGCGTCTGCAAGCAGGACAGCGTTAGCGCGTTAGCGGCGTGCCGCCGGTACTCACGGTGTACGCCCACTGTACGCAAGTACGCCGGGCAGGGGGCTCACCTCGTCGTCGAGAGAAACGGGGAACTGAGTCAGCGGCTTCACCGCCAGCTCCTCCACGGCCGCGTCGCGCCTAGAACAAGGACAGCACGTTCAGCGTCCGCGCCGGCTGGGCTGCCTACGCGGCCTGCCCCCGGGCGCAGCCCTGCCGCGGCACCGCGGCACCGCACCGCGGGCACCGCACCGCGGGCAGGCCAGGTCCGGCGGCCGGCCGAGCCGAGGGATTCAGAGGATCGGTTCGTCGCTCTGTCTCTCTCGCACCCTTAAGGAGAGCGCCGCGAGTGCGACGGAGACGGAACGACTCTTCCGAATCGCTCGGCAGGCACAGTGGAGCAGTCTGGTTACCCCAGTCCCCCAGCCAGCCTCGACGAGCCATCGACCTTCGACGTCGATTCTCGCCGTTTTTGTACGATTTACAGAAATGCTCAAACCTGGCATTCCGCCATGTGAAAGAAAAGGAAAGAAAAAAAAAAAGAGTTTCTAAGTCATCACTTTACCAACTCCCTCCCTCCCACCCACCCGTCCCGTCTCGCTCTTTTTCCCACACGCGCCTAGTGCAATCAGGTTTCCACCCAAAAGCCCGTGCAAGCCAAATATTTAATGACAGTAAAAAAAAGGAAAACGAAAAAAAAAAAAAGTTTCACGAGGCTGTCCTCAAATTACACTCCTTTACGTCTGCCGGGACCTCCCGTCCCTCGGGACCCTCAGGACACGCTGCGCCGCGTGTGTCGGTGTGCCTTGTCACTCACAGGGGAAAAAAATGCCAGTTTTGCGTGGGCTCGGGAAGCTTGTGAGTGCGAGTTTGTTTGTTTCAGCGCGTTCGAGTGTGTGTGTGTGTGTGTGTGAGGGTGTGTGGGAGAGAGAGAGAGAGAGAGAGAGAGAGAGAGAGAGAGAGAGAGAGAGAGAGAGTACGTGTATGAATGAGCGTGTGCGTGCGTGCGTGTGTACACGAGTGCGAGGGTGCGAGAGAGAAACAGAGGCTGCAAGGCGCGTGGTATTCGGTTCTCTGTGCGCGTCCTTCCCTGAGGCCTGCGGGGACCTGGCACGGGCTACAGCCCCTACCCCCCCCCCCTCTCTCTCTCTCTCTGACGCACCGAGCCACTGGGAGTCCCCTGGCCCACCGCACACCGCATCGGGCCGACGGGTGGCAGGTCAAGAGCGGAGCGGAGCGCCGTGGAGGTAGGCAACCCAAGGACAGGCAGCGCAGCCGTGTCGGCGCGAGGCCTACCCAGCCAGGCGCTCTCTGTCTCGGTGGTTGAGTCGAGTCTATCGGGTCTCGCCTCGACTCGGCAGCCGTGCGTGCCCACGCCGCCCATGCCCAGTCCACTGGAAGGCTGGACGGCGACTGTCTCACCCTCGCCCCTGGTTTACGCGCAATCTTCAACCACACCAAGCCACAAAGCAAAACGGAGCGCGCGTCGCGCCTCCAGAATGGTGCCTTCGTCGCTGTTTTTTGACGAGCGTGACGTCATATTCGCCGGAATGTGAATCTTATCACGTTTGCTTGGATGCGATTCTGCCGACTATGACGTCACATTCGTGGGGCGCCAGAGTGGTTTGGGCGACTCGTCGAATGCTTACCTCAACAACACCACCTTGAACACTGGTCCGGGCAGCCCCTTGATGATGGCCGAGGCATTCAAGTGGCATCGGCCCTGCAGCACCACGCCGTTCACCTGCGGCAGGACAAACAAGTCAAAACACTTGCCGGGGGAAGGAGAAGAATGACAAAGAGCGGGAAAGAAAGGGTGAAGAGCGGGGCGGTCACCATGTTGACAGCGAGTGAGAGGAAGAGAGTGAGTTACGAGTGGCGAGGCCAAGAAGAGAGAGAGGAAGAGAGAAAGGGGAGAGCAGTAATGAGGGAGACAGCGGGCAGCTCATTAGGGCAAGAAGCAGGTCGACCCTCTCCCCCCCCTCTCTCTCTCTCTTTCCACGACACACCGCGGGGTCACCTCGCCCGGTGGGAACGGAAGCACAGTACGCGCGCCGGGTATTTGCGTATGACCAATAACATGTTTGCCATTCCACGCCGCGGTCCCATTCAGTGTTTTTATTAGTTGTTTTTTTTTGCGAGTGATACTGTAGCAGCGCTGCGTTGTTACAGCGCACTGGCACTGCTGCAGCACGGCACGCACGGCCCGGCACGGCACGGTCGTGACGCCGGCCAAACCGGATCGGACGTGACCCCAGAAAGCAATTCAATCAACCCTCACCCCCCCCCTCCTCCAAGCCCCGCACCAACTTTTACGACTAGCAATGAAATTTGAAGCCGCGCTGTGCTGCGCTGTGCGGCGGCGCTGAGGCATAGCGGGCCGAAGCGCCTGGATTGAGGTGCGGCCCGGGGGTGGCAAGGGACAACTTTCGGTCGTCCCCCCCTCCCCCCCGGGCCCGGAGGCCGAAAGAGGGGGCTGATTTGAATTTCAGTTTCATACGTGTCAGCTTTTCTCGACTTGAAATCCGCCGCTGCTGCCGCAGCTTGACGCGGCTTGTTGTTGTCCTCGTCCGCCCACAGCGGCGGACCGCCAGCGAACCGCGCCCCGCGACCCCGCCCCACCCGGCAGATAGGAGAGAGGATATTGACGCTTCCCCTCTCTTTCTACTCTCTTTTTCCGTTTGTCCGTTGTTTGCCGTATTGATGGCCGGGCCGGGGATGGATGATGTTTCAAGACTAAGCCGCGCCCCTCCCACTCACTCTCCCTTTCCCTCCCTGCTCGCGCTCTCCCTCTCACTTCCTCCCCCACGAGTATCGCACGGCCCCGCGACACGGACAACAACCGCCAATGTTGCCATCGCGGGGCGTCGCGGGGCGGGACCCGAAGAGAAAAGACAAACTAATTTCCGGCGTGCGCGGTGCGGTGGAGTGGCGCACGCGTGGCAAGGCAAGCCGCGCCGAGGAGCCAACGTGCCGGGACGTGCCGCACTTGTATGCCGGCATGCCACCATCGCGCGGCGCTCTGTCTCTCTCGCACTCATGGGGCGTCCCGCGCGGGTGCGAGAGAGACAGAGCGATGAAAACGACTCTCGGAATCAGTCGCAGCCCAGCCGCAGGCCCCCCAGGCCGCGCAGGCCAGGCAAGGCAACACGGCGGAACCAACCGAGCGCAGCGCAGACCGGAAGCAGAGCGGGGAGGGAAAGTGGGCCGGGGGGTTGGCAGCACTTCCCGCAAGCACTGCTGGCTGGCCCGGCTGCCCGGCCCTGCCCGGCCCGCGCCCCGCAGGCCTGCCAACCGAGGGGACCCGCCCCGCCCCGCCCCGCCCCGCCTGGACCCGGCCGGGGGATCGGACTCGCCAACTTTCCCACATGATCCGGATAGTAGTTCTTGCCAGGACTGTACTCCCCCTCCCCTCCCAGGCGATGGCGGAGCGGCGCAGCGGTGCGCCCACTTTGTTGCTGGAACCGTTTGTCTGATTCGCCCAGTCACAGCCCGGCAGCCGGCCTCATCAAAATAGAAGTAAACGGGTGAATAAATAAATGAAAGTCGCAAGCTCGGCTCTGTTTCGTGGCCTAGCTCGGAGCCGAGCGCCCCAGCCGCGCGGGACAGAGGGGTCGTCCGGGCTCGGCGTAGCAGAGCGAGCGTCGCGCGGCCTAGCAGAGCGCAGCCCGCGCGGCCCAGCGCAGATGTGGACTCGAGAGCTGTTGAAACAGAGAGGGGCGCCGGGGCCAGCCTCGCCCCGCATCCTTGTGCGGTTTATATTCGAATCTACTCTGCCCCTAGAGCGCCCCCTCCCCTCCTTTCCAAACCCCCCGCCACCGCCCTCCGCCCCCTGCCGCCGCCCGCACCCCACCACCCTCATCCCTCAATGCGGCTCTTTCATTATTTTCCCCGCAAGAAGCGTGGAGACGTTTTGCAGCTGGTGTACTTGAGGAGGGCGCTGGGCTGCCTCGGCCTGCAGACTGATTCCGAGAGTCGTTTCCGTCGCTCTGTCTCTCTCGCACCTATGGGGCACACCCCGTGAGTGAAAGGGAGACAGAGCGACGAAAACGACTCTCGGAATCAGTCTTGGCCTGCCTCGGCCTGCCTGCCCGGGGCTGCCAAACCGCCACCACAAAAGCCGCTCCTCGCAGCGAGGACATTTCGTCACTCCCGAGGGAAAAGGGGGTGGGGGGAAGCAGCGCTGTTAAAATCGGCATCGAGCTCATGGCTCGGGTTGCGACCCGAACCCGGACACAATGCCTCCACCGATACGGCGCTCCCACAGTGTGCCACAGGCAACGGCATTCTCTTCACCTCGAGAAAAGCAGCACGTCTGAAAGACTGATTAAAACAAAACGCGCGGTACACCGCGAGAGTCGGCTCGACCGGGGGCTCGAAGCCACGCTCGTGCTCTAAAAACCGGTGCCTGCGTAGCCACTGCGCTACGCGCGTCCCTCGAGGGAGAGCGGCGTCCGTGCCGCGGTCCGCCCCCAGCGAGTGCCTGCTGACTGACGCGCAGTCGTTTCCCCAGCTCTGTCTCCGTCGCACTCATGGGGCGTCGCGCATGGGCGCGAGAGAGACAGCGACGCACACGAAAAGGACTCTCGGAATCAGTCTGCAGCCTGCTGGCCCAGCGAGTGCACTAAGTGAGGCAGGCGGCCAATGGCACGCCGGCACCGCAGGGCAGCGCGGGGATTGAAACAAATTGCTGCGGCGCGCGCGGCCGCGGACCGGACCCTCATTTTTGTGCGGGAAATAATTTTACTTGGCCTTCCAGCAGCCGGCCAGCCCGAGCGGCCAGCCAGCGTTCCAGCCTCGCATAATAATCAGTCAGCCCTAATGGGTTGCGAACACAGGCGCCGCCGCGCCACGCCACACCCGCGAGGAATTTCCAGGAAGCGAAGCAGGCTCCGGAGCCTCCAGCCGGCCTCCAGCCGGGCGCCGCCTCCGGGGAGAAATTCCAGTTATGAGAAGAAAGGAGGCTTGCGAAGGCCATTCAGTGTTCCAGCCATTCCAGCGCGTCTAGCCAGGCCCAGCCAGGCCCAGCCAGGCCGGGAGCCCGGGGCCTCACCGAGGCCCAGGCAACAATCAGAGGAGAGGATGATTTGTTAAAAAGTTCCAGGACTTCGGCCGCCTGGAACGTCCAGATAAAAACTTGGCCGGGAAAACGGTTATCGCGAGAAAGGAGGGGGCGGGTATGGATCCTGCGGCGAGGTGTGGAGAAGAGGTTACGCCCCACGGCGCGCCGGGAGCCCCCCCCCCCCCCGCGCAGCCCCGCGAGTAGAAGCGATCCCATTTTTCTTGGGGCAAGTTTCCCCGGCGAATTATCGAGAGGAGAAAAAAAAACACATAACTAGACAGCTGCCGAGCTGCCGGGAAGCACAACGCGACACGAGCCCTCACGCAACGCACTCCGCCCGCTCCGTCGAGTCTGCTCGCCGCCGCCGCCACCCTCGCCTACTCGCTCCGCGAAAATATCTAAACGACTTCTTTCCGGGGACCAAAGAACCACGACAAAAAAAAAAAGAAAAAAAAAACACGCACCGCGTGTATGCGGCACACATGCAAGCAATCGCACCACCGACGCGACAGCGGAGGCCTGGCGAAGACGGCCGAGGGCGCGGGGACGCTCGATATAACACTGCGAAAAAAAAATGGCTGGTGCCAAGACGACGACAGGGGGAAAAAAAGACATGCAGAGCAAAACGGAAGGGAATGGCGTGGAAGAAGCGATGCGATATGAGCCCCGGGTCCGGTGTGGCATGGCGGGCATGGCCTCGGGGAAGGAGCCGGATGGGGAGGGGAGGGGGGGGGCTGTCAATTTCACTGGGTCAAATCACAAAGTGAGCCGAGCACATAAATCAGCTGCAGCGCGCGGCGTCCGGAAGAAAAGAATGGTCTGGCGAGGACGGCGAGGAGCGCCTCGACTCGGCCAGACTTGGCGCGCGCTTCCACTCCGGGAGGAGGGCGAGTGGGAGGGGGAGGGGTGGGGGAGAGCACTCCGTTGCTCTTTCTTAAACCCTTCCCCCGCCCGGCCCGGCTGTCCCCACACGGCGCGGGGCGAAGCGCGCCAAAGTTGAAATTCGTCGGCGCAAAATTACTTGGAGGCGGCGTCGCGTTGTTCAAGTGGTTCGCGGACACGGCGAGGAGAGGGAGGGCCTCCTCGGGGCGGCGGAGCAGGCGGCACTTCCGTCGCGCAGCAGGGTGACTCCGAGAGTCGCTTTCGTCGCTCTGTCTCTCTCGCACTCGTGGGGCGTCCCGTGTAGGCGCGAGAGAGACAGACCGACGAAGACGACTCTGGGAATCAGTCTGCTGCGCCGTGCGTGCCAGTTAGCGGCGCCGAGGGGCGGCGGGACGACGTGCTATCCGGCAAGTCGGCCAGAAGGCTCACTCCGAGTACTGCTCTCGTCGCTCTGTCTCTCTCGCACGCCCCGGGCGTCCCGGAAGGGTGCGAGGGAGCCAGCGACGAAAGCAGTTCTCGGAACCAGCCTCCAGCTTGGCCTCCAGGTAGCGGCTGGAGATAACGCCAGGCGGCCCCGTCTGCGACAAGTCTACGATAAGTCGGCGACAAGTCCGCGACAAGTCGGCGACGAGGTCTGCGACTGCTGCGCCCCCGGCTAAAACTCGCGCCCGCCAGCCCGGCAGGGTGTAGCGTGTAGCACACTGTGAGCGGCGCCGTAGAGTCGCTCGCCTTTTCGCAGAGGCGACAGCGCGGCGACGTGCCTGCTTGCCTGTCTGTTAGCCAGTCCGTTTGTCGGCCCCGTCGGCCCTTCCGTCCGTCCGTATGTCTGTCCGCCTGCTCACGGGCGTTAATCTACGCACGCACCCTCCCGCCCGCGTCCTCGCCGTCCTCGGCCGGCGTCGTTAGAGAGGGCCTCGGCCTCGTCGACGGCAGGCTGCTGATGGCCGGCCACGCCATTGGTCGCGCAGTGCACAGTGGGCCAGAAGACCGGTGGAGCGGCCAAAATTCTAGACGCGTTTTGAGCTCCAGAGTCACTAAATGGGACTCGAATCGAACGTGTGACCCCACCAATGGATTGCTCTCCGAACGAGGAATCCATTGGTGGGGTCACACGATCGCTTCGAGTCCTATTTGGCGACTCTGGAGCTCTAGAGTTTTGGCCGCTGCGCCGGTCTTCTGGCCCACTGTGCAGTGTGGCCCGGCCGCTAGCCTGGCCGGCCTGGCGGAGAGTGGCGCGGCGATACGACGTGTCACTGCCGGCTCCACGGCGCCACTTGTGTGACTGTCCGGCTGATGTATGCGGTGTAACGCGCACTTAGGCCCCGGGGACACGGCGCCACCGCGCCACCGCGCTGGTGGCGTTAGTGATGTCGGCCATCCCTCGTGTTCCCCTGGCGGTGCCTGGCGGCCGTCGCCGCGCCACCTGACACCTCCACCCCTCCGCCCCCCACCTCGGCCCCGCCTGCAGACCGATTCCGCAGGTCGTTTTCGCCGCCGTCTCTCTCGCACCTCGACGGAACGCGCCGCGAGTGCGAGCGAGACGGAGCGATGAAAACGACGGGCTGCAGCACCTCGACGCCTCCGGGCGCTGCCTGGCCCTGCCGCGCTGCGTGTTGGCAGTGTGTTGACTCACGCCCACCGTCGGCCGGGGAGGTTGACGGGCACCCACCTCGAGGATCTCGTCGCCGACCTTGATGTCGCCGTTCTTGAAGGCGGCCCCGTTGGGGTTGAGGCCGCAGACGAGGACGGCCATGCGCGCGCGGTCCTTGTGGCCGGCCAGCGACAGCCCCAGCCCCGAGGGCCCCCGCTCCAGCACGGCCAGCTCCACCGAGCCGCCGGGGCCGGCCGTCGACACCGCGGGCCCATACCGCTTCCGGATCTTGTCTGCAACAGAAAACCAGAAGCACGCCGTCAGACGGGAACAGGAAAACGCGGCGCACATGTCGGAGCGGCGCGGAGCGGCGAGACGAGAACCGGACTCGCCTTCCGCCTCGTCTCCGTCGTTCGTTCGTATTTGTCCGCCTCGGCCGCGTCGGGTCGGGTCGGCCTTGCCGGGCCTCGCCGGGCCTTGCCGCATTCGCGCAATCGGATCGGATCACATCAAATGGGCCCCGGGGGGCGGGGGTGGGGGAGGGCGCGAACCCTCTTCATGGACAGGCGCATCATCGGGCTGTCGATCGCCGGGGCGTGGCGGGGCGTGGCGGGGCGTGGCGTGGCGGGGCACGGTGTGGCGGAGCCGGGTAGGGGTGCGGCTGATTGCAATCAGTGTTCGGACCGGCGCGACAATGTGTCATACAGGCAATTCTTGGCAAGGATGAGACACTAACGCGGACACGCCACGCCTTGCCACGCCCCGCCCCGCCCCGCCCCGCCCCACCCGGCGTCCGGCAGGGTGCAAGCGAAAGGTCGCGCGGCCAGTGCACAATGCCGACAATGCCATCATGGGCTTCGCCATGGGCTTCGCCATGGGCGTGGCCTTTCCGGCGTGCAGCAGCGTGTGTGCGAGAGAGACAGCGTCGGGCTTCCGACCTCCGTCCTTCGCCCGCAGAGCTGGACTAGTCCAGCAGGCCGAGTGCTTTCGTCGTCTCTCTCTCGCACTCGCGGGGCGTTCCGTTCCGCTGCGGCGCGAGGGAGACAGAGCGACGCGGCACTGTTGGGAATGAGGCTGCTGGAGCTCCGGGAGGCCGATAGCCCCCACCCTTTGTGCGAGATATAGTCGCGGATGGAAGCGACAGCTGTTTCCAGCTTCCAGTGCTTCGAGCCCCGGCGGCCGGGCGGGGCGGCGCGGCAGTCACTTCCAATAAGCAGTTTGGCCACGTCGGCCGGGCGGGCGGGCAGGCCTAAGGCGGGCCGGGCCAGGCGGCCGTAATGCCACCGCTTCGGCCTGCTTCGCCTCGCTTGCGGTGGCGGCGGCGGTCGCATGATGAGATGGGCTGCGGAGCAATTGGGGTCTCTGTGGCCTAATCAAATTCAAGCTGCCGCCGTCGGCAACCCCCGCGCCGCCGCGCCGCCGCGCCGCCACCACAGGCAAAATGATTTATCAATTTCAGATTCGCCCGGCTGGGCGGGTTAGGGCCGCCGCACCCCGACACAGCCCGACCTAGCGATGCCGCACGGACATCGTTCCCTCGCTCTGTCTCTCTCTCTCGCAGCCCTACGGGACGCCTCGTGAGTGCGACAGAGACAGAGAGCGCCTTCTCGGAATCAGCCTGCAGCAGGCGGCAGTGCAGCGGCGGGGAGGCACCCATCGTGGACGCGTCGCCGCGCCGCCGCGCCGCCCGGGAACCGATCGGCCCGGATCGGCCTGCCGATGGAGGACAATGTCGAGAACGACGCGACACACAAAACATTCTCGTCAGCCAGACAGAGGCGGCGGCGCGGCGCCGCGGCAGTCGGACAAAGGCGCGGGCCACCGCCAATTTTTCACTTTGAAAGGCTCCAGCGGCAGCGGCTAGCCCGGCCGAGCCCGCACAGTGGGCCAGAAGACCGGTGGAGCGGCCAAAATTCGAGACGCGTTTTGAGCTCCAGAGTCGCTGAATGGGACTCGAACCGAACGTGTGACCCCACCAATGGATTCCTCGTTCGGAGAGCAATCCATTGGTGGGGTCACACGTTCGGTTCGAGTCCCATTTAGCGACTGTAGAGCTCAAAACGCGTCTATAATTTTGGCCGCTCCGCCGGTCTTCTGGCCCACTGTGCCCCCCCCCCCCCCACGGATTAATGGGCTAGCTGCCCGGCAGCGGCCTCGATGGGGTGCTCGGGGAAGGGTTCCAGTGGCGCAGCCAAGCCATCAGGCATCGGCGTAGCCTGTGTGTGGTGTAGACTGAATGTAGAACATATAGTGTCCCGTGTTGTAGGTGCGGTAGCCAGCGCGGCGGCGAAGAGCCACCGACGCCCTGCTCTGGGGACGACACAGCGTAGACGAAGAGTCGTGCCTCACGCACTGAGCCGCCGAGAACAAGAAGAACACTCTCGCAGCCGCCGTGCCGCCCTAGTTGTGATGCCCGGCCTGGAGGGCCTGCCCTGCCGCGCTGGCCGCTTGCCGCCACCCCATCGATGGGGACGTCCGACAAGGCCGAGAAGGCCGTGGCGGCCGTGGTGCCGTAGCCACGCAAGTCGCCGGCACGCCGCGCGCAGTTACGCCCCTCCGGCCGGCGGACTGATTCCGAGCGCTGGCTGTCTCTCTCGCACTCCAAAAGGCCCCGTGAGTGCGAGAGAGACAGAGAGACCGAAGGCCGGCGGCGCAGCGCTGGCGCCACGCAGCTCGGCCCAGCGGGCAACACCGCGCAGCGAGCGCCACCGAGCCGCCAAGCCGCGCCCTACAAACTTGATAGTGGCGGTCACGGCCATAAACCGCAGAGGGCTGCGGCCAACTTCGCACGACGCGGCCTGGACTTAATGCCGCCCGCCCCGCCCCGCCCCGCCCCGCCTACAATATTTGTCTCGCTCGAATCGTAGCCGACACTCTTTATCGACGAGCACATCCGAGGCCCGACGTGCGGCTCGGCCGCAGGGCCCGACGCACGCGCGCGCACCATGTTTGCACACCTCTCCTCTCGGCCTCTGGGGCACGGCGCCGTCCGGAGCGCGACGCCACGCCGGCACACTGATTCCGAGAGTCGTTCTCGTCGCTCCGTCTCTCTCGCACTCATGGGGCGTGCCGTAGGGGTGCGAGAGAGACAGAGCGACGAAAACGACTCTCGGAATCAATCTGCTGGGCCGACGGCAAGGCAAGGCTCATTGAAATGACAGTGTGGAAGCGCGGGCGCGTTGCCAGGGTACCACGACGACGGCCTCGGCGGTGTCGGGTGCAGCGCGGTCCGACTCGGACGAGATAAAAGTTTAGCGGGGTATGACGGCAAGCTATTTACGGCGGCCGGGCTGCAGGCCGGGCTGCAGGCCGAGCGCCTGGAGGGTAGGCAGCCTAGGCACGGCGGCGCAGCGAGGCGCGCCGGGACGGCCTACCTTCCGGGCGGCCTCGCGCGCCTCCCCGGCCCCGGCGGCCCTAGCCTCTAGCTGGGCCCGGCCGGCACGTCGAGATTACGGCGCGACGCGCACCTCTGGGGGTCGCCATCCGTCACACCGCCGTGCCGTGCCGTTCCGAGCCGCATCCGCCGCAATGCTCGTCGCTCCAAGAGAAATATTTACCGAGGTTTATTCGGCATTCGCGGCCGGGCCGGGCGGACTCTGTCACTCTCTCGCACCCCAACGGAGCACCCCATGAGTGCGAGAGAGGCGGAAGATCCGACTGTCCGGAACGAGACCGCCGCGCCGCGCCAGACTCTGAAAGGGCGCGGGCGGCGGCGCGCGTCCGCAGCGTCCAGCACAGCGCCCCGCGCGTCCGGCAGCGCGCCGCAGCACGCCATGCAGTGCGCCATGCAGGCTGCCACGGCCTTGCGGCTTTGCGGGCCGCATTAATTTTGCAAAACCAAGCGCACGTCCACAGAGGGCCTGCCTGGCTGGCTGCCTGCCTGCCTGCCTGCAGTCCCGGCGGCCTACTTCGCGAGGCTCTCAGGCCGCCCAGCCAGGCAGGCAGCCCGCCCGCCCTGCTGCTGCTTAGTTACGGGCAAACTGGGTCGCCAAGCGCCCCGACGCCGATGACACACCCAGCACCTTCGCCCCAACGTATAGCGTTGCCTGGAGCGACGATACACTCACACACACACACACACATACACACACACAGCTCGCTCACACACGGCAGTAAAAACAAGGCCGGAGTGATTGTGCCTCTGTGCCGCTCTGTGCGCACTGCGCGGGGACCCATGTCCCGGCCGACCTGGCCCCGCCCGGCCCCGCCCGGCCCCGCCTGGCCCCCAGCGTGGGAGTGATATTGTGCGCGGGCTCGCCGTGCGCTCATCTTTATATCGTGCCATCCATATTCAGGCGCGGCCGTCGGGCCCGTCGGGTCGGGCTGCATGCGTTCGCCCGTCGTCGCCCTCTACGGGCCTGTCGCCACCGCCAACAACAACAACAACAAACACTCGCACGCAGTACACACTCATCCAGTGCCACACAGTCGGTTCGTTTCGAGGAGCACACTATAAAGCGCCACACCAGGCGTGGGTTTAAAAGGGTAGCGGGTTTGGAGTCTGAGTCTTGGGCTTGTTGTTGCTGCTTACTCGAATGGTAGATATCTGCTGAGGCCTAACAGCGCTGATGATGATGGGGTGATTCCCCCCCCCCCTCGCGCCCTTTTCCTGGATAGGCCGCCTGGAAGATAGGCAAGGAGCACTTCTTTGCCCCGGTCAGTAGGCAGGCAATGGAGTAGCGGGACGCCGTCCCGATGAACCTCGAGGAGGCCGTCATCGCGAAGGAGGCCGTGGAGGGAGGCGGTCGGTGTCCGGGGCCGCCGCCGTGGCGCCCGGCCGAGGACGCGGAGGAGGCGAAGGGGGCCTCGCTATTGGAAACGAATGTAAGTGAGAAATGGCGCTCCTCGAATCGGGGGCGGCTGGGGGCGTGGCCGGCCGAGAGGGATGGGGAGGGCGCGGCGGGGCACAGTGGGCCAGAAGACCGGTGGTGGCGGCCAAAACTCTAGACGCGTTTTGAGCTCCAGAGTCGCTAAATGGGACTCGAATCGAACGTGTGACCCCACCAATCGATTGCTCTTCGAAAGAGCAATCCATTGGTGGGGTCACACGTTCGGTCCGAGTCCTGTTAAGCGGCTCTGGAGCTCAAAACGCGTCTAGAGTTTTGGCCGCCTCCACCGGTCTTCTGGCCCACTGTGCGAGGGGGCGGACAGAGACGCCACTGCCGACGGATTCCGAGAGTCGTTGTCGTCGCTCTGTCTCTCTCGCACTCACGGGGCGCCCTGTAAAGGTGCGAGAGAGACGGCGCGACGACGACGACTCTCGGAATCCGTCGGCAGTGGCGTCGTCGTCGGC